GTGGGCCGTGTTGAATCTATGGGCAGTGTTGAATCTACTGTATGTGCTGTTTTGAGTCTATGGGCAGTGCTGAGTCTATGGGCAATGTTGAGTCTATGGGCAGTGCTGAGTCTATGGGCAGTGCTGAGTCTATGGGTTGTGTTGAGTCTATGGGCAGTGCTGAGTCTATGGGCAGTGCTGAGTCTATCGGCAGTGTTGAGTCTATGGGCAGTGTTGAGTCTGTGGACAGTGTTGAGTCTATGGGCAGTGCTGAGTCTGTGGGCAGTGCTGAGTCTATGGGCAGTGCTGAGTCTATGGGCAGTGTCGAGTCTATGGGCAGTGCTGAGTCTATGGGCAGTGTTGAGTCTATGGGCAGTGTTAAGTCTATGGGCAGTGTTGAGTCTATGGGCAGTGCTGATTCTATGAGCAGTGTTGAGTCTATGGGCAGTGCTGATTCTATGAGCAGTGTTGAGTCTATGGGCTGTGTTGAGTCTATGGGCAGTGTTGAGTCTATGGGCAGTGCTGAGTCTATGGGCATTGTTGAGTCTATGGGCAGTGCCGAGTCTTTGGGCAGTGTTGAGTCTATGGGCTGTGTTGAGTCTATGGGCAGTGCTGAGTCTATGGGCAGTGTCGAGTCTATGGGCAGTGCTGAGTCTATGGGCAGTGTTGAGTCTATGGGCAGTGTTAAGTCTATGGGCAGTGTTGAGTCTATGGGCAGTGCTGATTCTATGAGCAGTGTTGAGTCTATGGGCAGTGCTGATTCTATGTGCAGTGTTGAGTCTATGGGCTGTGTTGAGTCTATGGGCAGTGTTGAGTCTATGGGCAGTGCTGAGTCTATGGGCATTGTTGAGTCTATGGGCAGTGCCGAGTCTTTGGGCAGTGTTGAGTCTATGGGCTGTGTTGAGTCTATGGGCAGTGCTGAGTCTATGGGCAGTGCTGAGTCTATGGGCAGTGCTGAGTCTGTGGGCAGTGTTGAGTCTATGGGCAGTGTTGAGTCTATGGGCAGTGCTGAGTCTATGGGCAATGTTGCGTCTGTGGGCCGTGTTGAATCTATGGGCAGTGTTGAATCTACTGTATGTGCTGTTTTGAGTCTATGGGCAGTGCTGAGTCTATGGGCAATGTTGAGTCTATGGGCAGTGCTGAGTCTATTGGCAGTGCTGAGTCTATCGGCAGTGTTGAGTCTATGGGCAGTGTTGAGTCTGTGGGCAGTGTTGAGTCTATGGGCAGTGCTGAGTCTGTGGGCAGTGCTGAGTCTATGGGCAGTGCTGAGTCTATGGGCAGTGTTAAGTCTAGTGTTGAGTCTATGGGCAATGCTGATTCTATGAGCAGTGTTGAGTCTATGGGCATTGTTGAGTCTATGGGCAGTGTTGAATCTATGGGCAATGTTGAGTCTACGGGGCAGTGTTGAGGTTATGGGCTGTTTTGAGTCTATGGACAGTGTTGAGTCTATGCGCAGTTTTGAGTCTATGGGCAGTGTTGAGTCTATGGGCAGTGTTGAGTCTATGGACAGTGTTGGGTCTATAGGCAGTGCTGAGTCTAGGGGTAGCGTTGAGTCTATGGGCAGTGGTGAATCTATGGGCAGTGTAGAGTCTATGGGGAGTGCTGAGTCGATTGGCAGTGTTGAGTCTATGTGCAGTTTTGAGTCTATGGGCAGTGTTGAGTCTATGTGCAGTTTTGAGTCTATGGGCAGTGTTGAGTCTATGGGCAGTGCTGAGTCTATCGGCAGTGTTGAGTCTATGCGGAGTGTTGAATCTATGGGCAGTGTTGAGGCTACTGTATGTGCAGTGTTGAGGCTATGGGCTGTTTTGAGTCTATGGGCAATGTTGAATCGATGGGCAGTGTTGAGTCTATGAGCAGTGTTGAGTCTATGGGCAGTGCTGAGTCTTTGGGCAGTGCTGAGTCTATGGGGAGTGCTGAGTCTATGGGCAGTGTTGAGTCTATGGGCAGTGCTGAGTCTATGGGCAGTGTTGAGTCTATGGGCAGTGCTGAGTCTTTGGGCAGTGCTGAGTCTATGGGGAGTGCTGAGTCTATGGACAGTGTTGATTCTATGGGGCACTGTTGAGTCTATGGGCAGTGTTGAGTCTATGGGCAGTGTTGAGTCTATGGGCAGTGTTGAGTCTATGGGCAGTGTAGAATCTATGGGCCGTGTTGAGTCTATGGGGAGTGCTGAGTATATGGGCAGTGTTGAGTCTATGGGCAGTTTTGAGTCTATTGGTAGTGCTGAGTCTATGGGCAGTGTTGAGTCTATGGGCAGTTTTGAGTCTATGGGCAGTGTTGATTATATGGGGCAGTGTTGAGTCTATGGGCAGTGCTGAGTCTATGGGCATTGTTGCTTCTGTGGGCCGTGTTGAATCTATGGGCAGTGTTGAATCTACTGTATGTGCTGTTTTGAGTCTATGGGCAGTGCTGAGTCTATGGGCAATGTTGAGTCTATGGGCAGTGCTGAGTCTATGGGCAGTGCTGAGTCTATGGGTTGTGTTGAGTCTATGGGCAGTGCTGAGTCTATGGGCAGTGCTGAGTCTATCGGCAGTGTTGAGTCTATGGGCAGTGTTGAGTCTGTGGACAGTGTTGAGTCTATGGGCAGTGCTGAGTCTGTGGGCAGTGCTGAGTCTATGGGCAGTGCTGAGTCTATGGGCAGTGTCGAGCCTATGGGCAGTGCTGAGTCTATGGGCAGTGTTGAGTCTATGGGCAGTGTTAAGTCTATGGGCAGTGTTGAGTCTATGGGCAGTGCTGATTCTATGAGCAGTGTTGAGTCTATGGGCAGTGCTGATTCTATGAGCAGTGTTGAGTCTATGGGCTGTGTTGAGTCTATGGGCAGTGTTGAGTCTATGGGCAGTGCTGAGTCTATGAGCAGTGTTGAGTCTATGGGCAGTGCTGAGTCTATGGGCATTGTTGAGTCTATGGGCAGTGCCTAGTCTTTGGGCAGTGTTGAGTCTATGGGCTGTGTTGAGTCTATGGGCAGTGCTGAGTCTATGGGCAGTGCTGAGTCTATGGGCAGTGCTGAGTCTATGGGCAGTGCTGAGTCTATGGGCAGTGCTGATCAATGCGTAGTGGCCTTATCGACGTCGGAGACTGTTCTTAGAGGCGACACGTATTCATTATAAACACTTCTGTTACAGTATCGAATCTTAATACTTGAAGAGATAACGGCCTCTTCATCCCGTACCCTTCAGAGGGAACGGTCCCCAAGCTTTACCCGCGCTAGCTGCCTGGTTCCCTCACTCCTGGCCCTCTCTCCCGAGCTCTCAGACCTGGCACAGCTTCGGCGCAGGTCCCGACCACCAGCCACACGAGTCCGGCTCTCAGAAGGACATCGGCCCTCGCCGCTCTGCTGTCGCACCCCCTGGCTTGCCTTGCCCGGCCCTCAAAAAGGACAGCGGATCAAGGGAGCTCCAGGGCCTAGCTAGTGGGTCTTCTTTCTTCAACTGGCTCTTCATCTCAGCTCTCCGGGTTCCAGCTTTTATACATTCCCTCTGCGAGGGGTGTGGCTGGGAGGGATCACAGCGTCCCCCACAGCCCCCCAGGCTGGTGGCCGTAGCGGACGTGGTTGTAGCCACCGCCTTACAACCGCGTGTCCCCGTCCCATAACACCTCGACAAATGTACTGGGGAAGTTGTTTCCAGTGGAGGGGTGCAGCGGGGAAGAAGGAGCGAACACGAACCTGGGCGCGATAATAACATCGCTGCAGCTTTTGATTCAAAGCTTTCGTGACTGCAGTAATTCATATTCTTAGCTCTTTCGGTAAAGTCACGTTGAAGGGAAACAATAAAATAATAAAATATATATAAAACAATAAAAAAAATTCTCACGACGTTTCGACCATAACCACCTGATGACGACCGTTTGTGTTATGGTCGAAACGTCGTAAGAATTTTTATTGTCTTATATATTTTTTATTATTTTATTGTTTCCCTTCAACGTGTCTTTACCGAAAGAGCTAAGATTATGAATATCGCTGCAGCTGTTAGCACCACTGATAATGACACTGCTGGTCAGAAAGACGATGCTGCTGATGATGATCATGCTGCTGATGATGATGATCCTGCTGCTCGTGTAAGTTTTTGAACTTATTTCGCACCGTACGTAGCCAACCGTGCTAATCGGAGGTGCGGTGGAAGGACATCACACATGACGATGGCAATGCTACAAACTAAGTTGCCTCTGTGGTAGTAGTTACATTGGAGAAACCAAACGACACGTCTCGGACCGCATTCGTGAACACAAAGCAGTCCTAAAACACGGTAGGACCAACACCTCGGCCGTGGCAGATCACTGTTATAATTCAGTAGGCTCACATGACATTGACTTCTCCAAGACAGAGGTTCTTCGCAAGCCACCTGGCTACCATGAAGGATTCGTTCGTGAGACTATCCACATATACAAGCACAGAGACAATTTCAACCGAGAAGATGGATTCTGGCTTAGCAATCATTGGAAGGATTTGATCAACCATTTCGGGTCTCAATTGATTGTTTACACTTACGGTGGCTTTCAGACCGCATCCATTATTTTCGTCTCCCCCCTCCTCTTTTCCGAACATAGATGGACTCGTCCATCTGAATAACTACTAAATCGCTCTCCGTGGTGCTAACGTAAAAAAAACCCGCCACTTTTTTCAAATGTTCTTGCTGTGGTGTTCACACCTGATGATGATTGTTGCAGTCGAAACGTCGTGAGAGTTTTATTGTTTTATATTTTTATTATTTCATTGTTTCCCTTCTACGTGACTTTACCGAAAGAACCAAGCATATGATGGCAATGCTGCTTGATGGAACATGACAATGCTGCTGCTGCTGACATAGAATAATGATGCATCAATCCTGCTGCCCCCGCTGCTTCTGCACATGCTGCCCCTGCTGCCCGTGCTGATGCTGCTACCTCTGGCTGTCCCTGGTCCTGCTGCCCATATTGCCCCTGTTGCTGCTGCTGCTGCTGCCCCCGCTGCTGCTGCTGCTGGCCATGCTGCCCCTGTTGCTGCTGCCACCTGTTGCTGCTGCTGCCCCGCGTTTCTCGGGGGGCAGGTGGCATTTTCGAGACTCTGGACGGAGGTCCGGCGAGCGCGGAGGAGATGGCGTTCAAATTCGCGGTCAACTCCATCAACCGCAACCGCACGCTGCTGCCCAACACGACGCTCACCTACGACATCCAGCGCATCAACATCTACGACAGCTTCGAGGCCTCGCGCAAAGGTGCCCTCACCTCCCCTAGCTACCCAGACCGTCTTTGTCTCACTCCTCCCCTCCCCTAGCTACCCAGACCGTCTTTGTCTCACTCCCCACCTCCCCTAGCTACCCAGACCGTCTTTGTCTCACTCCTCACCTCCCCTAGCTACCCAGACCGTCTTTGTCTCCCACCCACCAACCCCTCCCCCCCTCTCTATCCATCTCTCCGGGTCGGTATGCAACTCTATGGTTCCACACATTTGAACGTGCCGCTGTGCATCTCTAACGGGTCGCTATGGATGTCTGCGAGTCTCCATGCATCCCATCGTGTCGCCGGCTCTCTCTGTCTCTCGATGTTCCCGTGAGTGTTTACAACGTGGCCCACACCGTCTATGGCGGTGTGGAGACGGCTGTTCAACGTCGGCCTCTGCTGCCGTGATGCTGTCGATGGTTCTACCAGTGGTAGGGTGAGCCGGGTGGGTGAGTAGGGTGGGTGAGTGGGGTGAGTAGGGTGAGTGCGTTAAGGCGCTTTGCCGGTGTCCGAGAATCGAGCCGTCCCCCTGCAAGGAGCATTCCGGGTCCGTGTAGCAGTAGAAAACGTTTCGACCAAATTGTCCTCCTCTATTGCACTTGTTATCAAGTTATGAAGAAGGGGCCGCTTGCATGAAACGTAGCCTCTAAAGTAAGAGCTGCCCGCTTTGAAGGCCACAGTGTTATTGACGATTGTGTAGAGTAGTGGTGTTGGTGTCTGTGCGTGAGCACCCATCAGCAACAAATGGTTGACTTCCTGAGATGTCTGGCAGATGTTAACCCACTGGTGCTGCCCACTGTACCATCCAACACGCTGCATGCGCTGTAGCTGTTGCGAGCTTCGATCCTCTGCCCTCCGCTGTTGTTGGAGGGCGACTCGGAATCATGATCTTTAACGCAACTGGAGGAATCCGATGAGCTTCAAAGCTCTTTCTTTTGCCTCCGACTGCCCTGCAGCAGCGTCCTCCACGAGCCGCCTCCTTGACGCCGCTCGGTGCAGGTCATCGGCAAATCGCCCACTCAGCTCTTAAATTCTCAGCCCATATCTTATCTCACCTTGCCATGCCCATTAAGCCTCCCCTATCCGGGCCAAACACAAGTTCCTCGGGTACGCGGTGCCTGGGCACACCAGGCTACTACATGACCCAGCAAACAAATGCGTGCTTTTATCAGCGGAGCTCAGCGATGTCAGTGAATCGTCACTCCATCACCGAATTGCTTCAAAAGCGGGGACGAGTGTTCTTGGAAGTGGATTTCGCGACACGTGCGGAATATTGTTTCCAAGTGGAGATGCAGAGAGACACACAGAGACCCAGAGAGATGCGTAGAGACTACGGACCGCACAGTGAACCCACCGCGGTCTGCGCAACTTCAACGGCGGAGGAAGAGCGACTGGACGGGAACTCTCTCTCTCTCTGTATCTTTCTGTCTCTCTGTGTCACTCTCTCTGTCTATCTCTGTGTCTCTCTCTCTGTATCTTTCTGTCTCTCTGTGTCACTCTCTCTGTCTCTCTCTGTGTCTCTGTGTGTGTGTCTCTCTCTGTCTCTCTCTCTCTGTGTCTCTCTCTGTCTCTCTCTGTATCTCTCTCTGTGTCACTCTCTGTGTGTCTCTCTCTGTGTGTCTTTCTCTGTGTGTCTCTCTCTCTCTGTGTCTCTCTCTCTCTCTCTGTATCTCTCTCTCTGTGTCACTCTCTGTGTCTCTCTCTGTGTCTCTCTCTGTGTGTCTGTCTCTCTCTGTCTCTCTCTGTGTCTCTCTCTCTCTCTGTTACTCTCTGTGTCTCTCTGTGTCTTTCTCTGTCTCTCTCTGTGTGTGTCTCTCTCTGTATCTCTCTGTCTCTCTGTGTCACTCTCTCTGTCTCTCTCTCTCTGTCTCTCTCTGTCTCTCTGTCACTCTCTCTGTCTCTCTCTCTCTGTCTCTCTCTTTCTCTCTCTCTGTCTCGTTCGCTGGCTCTCTCTCTGGCTCTGTCTCTCTCTCTCTCTCTGCGTCTCCCTCTCTCTGTGTATGTGTCTCTCTGTGTCTCTCCACGTGACTTTTCTTTCATGTTATGCGCGGTGCTTTTTAGCGCCACAGCGCGTGGATTTGTAACGTTTATTTTACATTTGTGTTGCTGGTGACTTTGTGTATTTCATATCGAAATCGCCTCCAGTCCTTTTGCTGCTGGCGGCAATAAAAGTTGTTTAAAAGTAGAAAAAAAAGTCTGTCTCTCTGCTGAAGCTCTCTTGTCGTGGCTACCAGCAGCAGGAGACCACGACATTGGCATCTTTAGCTGCTAATCCACATGACCATACCCTAGAATGAGAATAGTCTATGGGCAATGTTAGTCTGTGGGTAATGTTAATCTATGGACAATGTTAATATATGGGCAATGTTAGTCGATGGGCAATGTTAATATATGGGCAATGATAGTCTATAGGCAATGTTAGTCTATGGGCAATGTTAGTCTGTGGGTAATGTTAGTCTGTGGGTAATGTTAATCTATGGACAATGTTAATATGTGGGCAATGTTAGTCTATGGGCAATGCTATTCTATGGGCAGTGTTAGTCTATGGGCAATGTTAGTCTGTGGGTAATGTTAATCTAAGGGCAATGTTGATATATGGGCAATGTTAATCTATGGGCAGTGTTAGTCTATGGGCAATGTTAGCCTGTGGATAATGTTAATCTATGGGCAATGTTAGTCTATGGGCAATGTTAATCTATGGACAATGTTAATCTATGGACAATGTTAATCTATGGACAATGTTAATCTATGGACAATGTTAATCTATGGACAATGTTAATCTATGGGCAATGTTAATCTATGGGCAATGATAGTCTATGGGCAATGCTAATCTACGGGCAATGCTAGTCTATGGGCAATGTTAATCTATGGACAATGATAGTCTATGGGCAATTTTAATCTATGAGCAATGATAGTCTATGGGCAATGTTAATCTACGGGCAGTGTTAGTCTATTGGCAATGTTAATCTATGGACAATGTTAATCTATGGACAATGTTAATCTATGGGCAATGTTAGTCTATGGGCAATGTTAATCTATGGGCAGTGTTAATCTATCGGCAATGTTAATATATGGGCAGTGTTAATCTATGGGCAGTGTTAGTCTATGGGCAATGTTAGCCTGTGGTTAATGTTAATCTATGGGCAATGTTAATATATGGGCAATGTTAATATATGGAAAATGTTAATCTATGGGCAATATTAGTCTATGGGCAATGTTAATCTATGGGCAGTGTTAATCTATGGGCAGTGTTAATCTATGGGCAGTGTTAATCTATGGGCAATGTTGATATATGGGCAGTGTTAATCTATGGGCAGTGTTAGTCTATGGGCAATGTTAGTCTATGGGCAATGTTAATCTATGGGCAGTGTTAGTCTATGGGCAATGTTAGCCTGTGGGTAATGTTAATCTATGGGCAATGTTAATATATGGACAATGTTAATCTATGGGCAATGTTAGTCTATGGGCAATGTTAATATATGGGCAGTGTTAATCTATGGGCAGTGTTAGTCTATGGGCAATGTTAGTCTATGGGCAATGTTAATCTATGGGCAGTGTTAGTCTATGGGCAATGTTAGCCTGAGGGTAGTGTTAATCTATGGGCAATTATAGTCTATGGGCAATTTTAATCTATGGTCAGTATCAGTCTATGGGCAATGTTAATATATGGACAATGTTAATCTATGGGCAATGTTAATATATGGACAATGTTAATCTATGGGCAATGATAGTCTATGGGCAGTGTTAATCTATGGGCAGTGTTAATCTATGGGCAATGTTAATCTATGGGCAATGTTAATCTATGGACAATGTTAATATATAGACAATGTTAATCTATGTGCAATGTTAGTCTATGGGCAATGTTAATCTCTGGGCAATGTTAATCTATGGGCAATGTTAATATATGGGCAGTGTTAATCTATGGGCAGTGTTAGTCTATGGGCAATGTTAACCTGTGGGTAAAGTTAATCTATGGGCAATGTTAATCTATGGGCAATGTTAATCTATGGGCAATGTTAATCTATGGCCAATGATAGTCTATGGGCAATGTTAATCTATGGCCAATGATAGTCTATGGGCAATGTTAATCTACGGGCAATGATAGTCTATGGGCAATGTTAGTCTATGGGCACTGATAGTCTATGGGTCTATGGGCCAAAATTTAAAACCACTGTGGTCTGCGCGACTTCGACAGAGGAGGAACAGGACAACACTCTCCCTGCCTCTCTGCTGAGAGACACGGAGAGAGATTGCCATCGTGCGCCGGAATAGATTAGAATGCAGGATCGTCAGCGGATAGGCATTAGACTGTTTCCAGTTGTAGTGCCTTACGCCGACGATGCTGACTCTAAAATAGTTTCACGTAGCGGTAGGCGACCTAATGATGATGATGATGACGACGCAGGCAGTGATGAGAAAGGAAACTGGCACTCTTTGTTAGACGACTGGGAAATTAAAAGTGCGTGTAGTTGTTGTTGTTGTTATTGTTGCTGATCGGAAAATGCGGAAGGAACTGGAAAAAAAGAGGAAGGCTTAAGAGAGCATGGCTTGAGGACGACATCGTAAGAGATTCGTGTCCAGAGAAGATGTGGCCACTCGCTTGAGTATGTTGGCACTGCAAGACAGAGAAAAGTGGAAATTGATGAGGAAATGTGCAGCAGTGGACACCTACGGGCTCTCTGACCCAAGGATCGTGATGATGATGATGATAATGATACCATGTGTGCTAGTTGTAGTGCCTTACGCCGGTGATCTCGACTCCAAGCCGGCTTCCTGTAGGAGCCAGCAATGGTCCGGACCGAAAACTTAAAAAAAAAAAAATTCCGAGCTAAAAATGTAAAGCGACTGTCAAATGGAAATGAATTCGGGGAATTAATGAAACAGAATTTATTTATAAATTTGACGTAAATTTGCTCTGCACTTCAAATGCCACCCCCACCCCCCCCCCCCCCAGCAGGGGAACAAATGGGCGACTTTACCAAGGCACCTCCCGGTAATTAATTAACGAATCGGGTAATCGGATCCTGATTACAATCTGCAGATGTCAACCCCTCCTCGCCCTCGTCAACCCCCACCCCGCCCCTCCCCCCGCCCTCCTCTCACCCCTCCCCCCTCCCCACCCACCACCGGGTCCGTCCTCTCGCCCCTCCTTCACGAGGAAGCTGTGGGTGGGCTCGCATCGCGCTGCAAGCTGGGATGATGACTGTGGGTCATTAACGGCCGCTAATTGCGAGAAATTGCACCGCGAATGCTCGGAGATCGGGGGATGAAAGCGTCTTAATTAAGAGATAATTACACGCCCCGCCGAGTGGCGCTAATTACTGCCGGATTAGTTGCGTCGGTGGAACGCGGACGGTGAACTTGGCGTGGAGACAGGGGCCTCTTGCGCAATGCGGTTTGAGTGTGTGGGTGAGTGAGTGGATACGTGGTTGGGTGGGTGAGTTGGTGGGTGAGTGAGTGGATGAGTGGGTGGGTGGCTGGGTGAGTGGGTGAGTGAGCGGATGAGTGAGTGAGTGAGTGGATGAGTGAGTGAGTGGGTGAGTGAGTGAGCGGGTGAGTGAGTGAGTGAGTGGGTGAGTGAGTGAGTGGGTGAGTGAGTGAGTGAGTCAGTGGGTGAGTGAGTGAGTGAGTGGGTGAGTGAGTGAGTGGGTGGGTGTGTGGCTGGGTGAGTGGGTGGGTGGGTGGCTGGGTGAGTGGGTGGGTGGGTGGCTGGGTGAGTGGGTGGGTGGCTGGCTGGGTGAGTGGGTGGGTGGCTGGGTGAGTGGGTGGCTGGGTGAGTGGGTGAGTGCGTGGGTGAGTGGGTGGGTGGGTGGGTGAGTGAGTGTGTGAGTGAGTGGTTGAGTGGGTGAGTGAGTGAGTGGCTGTGTGAGTGAGTGGGTGGGTGGGTGACTGAGTGGGCGGATGACTGAGTGGGTGGATGACTGAGTGGGTGGGTGGGTAAGTGTGAGCGAGTGAGTGGGTGGATGAGTGAGTGGGTGAGTGAGTGAGTGGGTGAGTGGGTGGGTGAGTAAATGAGTGGATGGGTGGGTAAATGAGTGTGTGAGCGGGTGAGAGAATGAGCGGGTGGGTGAATGTTTGAGTGCGTGCGATGGAGAGAGGGATTGTGGGTGAGATGCTAGGTACGTGCATACATGATTGAGCGAGTCAAAGTGCGTCTGGGATGTAGGGTTTCAAATATAGGAGGAGGTCGTGGGATTCGATCCTGAACCTGCTGCCTGCTGTATATTTGCGTGTATCTCTCTCCCCATGGTCGCGTGGATTTTTCTCCGGGTCCTCCGGTTTTCCCCTCTGCATTTATAATCAAAAATCACCACGCGTTTAGAGTGTTTGGGATAGATGGAGGGTGAGGTGCTGGGTGAGTGAGTGAGATAGATGGAGGGTGAGGTGCTGGGTGAGTGAGATAGATGGAGGGTGAGGTGCTGGGTGAGTGAGTGAGATGGAGGGTGAGGTGCTGGGTGAGTGAGTGAGTGAGATGGAGGGTGAGGTGCTGGGTGAGTGAATGAGTGAGTGAGATGGAGGGTGAGGTGCTGGGTGAGTGAGTGAGTGAGATGGAGGGTGAGATGCTGGGTGAGTGAGTGAGTGAGATGGAGGGTGAGATGCTGGGTGAGTGAATGAGTGAGTGAGATGGAGGGTGAGGTGCTGGGTGAGTGAGTGAGATGGATGGAGGGTGAGGTTCTGGGTGAGTGAATGAGTGAGTGAGTGAGATGGAGGGTAAGATGCTGGGTGAGTGAATGAGTGAGTGAGATGGAGGGTGAGGTGCTGGGTGAGTGAATGAGTGAGTGAGATGGAGGGTGAGATGCTGGGTGAGTGAATGAGTGAGTGAGATGGAGGGTGAGGTGCTGGGTGAGTGAGTGAGATGAATGGAGGGTGAGGTTCTGGGTGAGTGAATGAGTGAGTGAGATGGAGGGTAAGATGCTGGGTGAGTGAATGAGTGAGTGAGATGGAGGGTGAGGTGCTGGGTGAGTGAGTGAGTGAGATGGAGGGTGAGGTGCTGGGTGAGTGAATGCGCGTGACGGAGCGTGAGTGTCAGAAGGCGAGGTGTGTGACGTGACCGGCAGGGGGCGATCAGCCTGCCTGGGGGTCGTCGGCAGAGACACCGCCGCTGCCGTTCCCGCACGAGTTCACTCCCCCCCTCTCCCATGTCCCCTCTCACCCCTCGCCCATGTCCCCTCTCCACCCCCATGGCCCCTCTCCCCCCCCATGCCCCTCTCCCCCCCCCCCCCCCCCCCCCCCCCCCCGCCCCCCCCCGCCCCCCCCCGCCCCCTCCCTGACCCACCCCCAGCCTGCGACCAGCTCTCGCTGGGCGTCGCTGCTATCTTCGGGCCCTCCCACTCGGCGTCGGCGAGCTCCGTGCAGTCCATCTGCAACGCGCTCGAGGTGGGTGCCACTGCGGCCCCTCGGTGCCGCGGGGTGTCGACTCACCTCGCAAGGCCACGCAGGAGGACCGTGGGGGTTCGATCCCGACCCTCACGACGCCTGCTGCTGCTGCTGTCTCTCTCTCTCTGTCTCCTCTCTCTATCGCTCCTCTTCGTTGAGCTCTCATTTGTGATAGCCAGGCCGCTTATGGATAAGAGCTACGTAGCTCAGTAGGGGGCTTAACCTGGTAAAAAATTAATAATATTTAAAAAAATAATGATGGTGTCTGTGTGTGTGTGTTGAATTAATTGTCGGTGCTGGGGGAAGATGGACTAACGCGAAAAGCATTGCTTCAGTGGCTTCCTCGTGTGGTAGTTAGTGGTGGTAGTAGTAGTTAGTGGTAGTAGTTAGTAGTAGTTAGTGGTAGTAGTTAGTAGTAGTGGTGGTAGTAGTAGTTAGTGGTGGTAGTAGTAGTTAGTAGTAGTTAGTGGTGGTAGTAGTTAGTGGTAGTTTGTGGTAGGAGTTAGTGGTAGTTAGTAGTAGTTAGTGGTAGTAGTAGTAGTTAGTGGTGGTAGTAGTTAGCAGTAGTGGTGGTAGTAGTTAGTAGTAGTAGTTAGTGGTAGTAGTAGTTAGTAGTAGTAGTAGTGGTTAGTAGTAGTTAGTAGTTGTTAGTGGTAGTAGTTAGTAGTAGTAGTTAGTGGTAGGAGTTAGTAGTAGTGGTGGTTGTAGTTAGTAGTAGTAGTTAGTGGTAGTAGTAGTTAGTAGTAGTTAGTGGTAGTAGTAGTTAGTGGTAGTAGTAGTTAGTGTTAGTTAGTGGTAGTAGTAGTTAGTAGTAGTATTTAGTAGTAGTTAGTGGTAGTAGTAGTTAGTGGTAGTAGTAGTTAGTGGTAGTAGTAGTTAGTAGTAGTAGTGGTTAGTAGTAGTTAGTAGTAGTTAGTGGTAGTAGTTAGTAGTAGTAGTTAGTGGTAGGAGTTAGTAGTAGTGTTGGTTGTAGTTAGTAGTAGTAGTTAGTGGTAGTAGTAGTTAGTAGTAGTAGTGGTTAGTGGTGGTAGTAGTTAGTAGTAGTTAGTGGTAGTAGTAGTTAGTAGTAGTTAGTGGTAGTAGTAGTTAGTGGTAGTTAGTAGTAGTAGTTAGTGGTTGTTAGTGGTAGTAGTAGTTAGTGGTAGTAGTAGTTAGTAGTAGTTGTTAGTGGTGGTAGTAGTAGTTAGTAGTAGTTTGTGGTAGGAGTTAGTAGTAGTGGTGGTAGTAGTTATTAGTAGTAGTTAGTGGTAGCAGTAGTTAGTAGTAGTAGTGGTTATTGGTGGTAGTAGTTAGTAGTAGTTAGTGGTAGTAGTAGTTAGTAGTAGTTAGTGGTAGTAGTAGTTAGTGGTAGTAGTAGTTAGTAGTAGTTTGTGGTAGGAGTTAGTAGTAGTGGTGGCAGTAGTTATTAGTAGTAGTTAGTGGTAGTAGTAGTTAGTAGTAGTAGTGGTTAGTGGTGGTAGTAGTTTGTAGTAGTTAGTGGTAATAGTAGTTAGTAGTAGTTAGTGGTAGTAGTAGTTAGTGGTAGTTAGTAGTAGTTAGTGGTTGTTAGTAGTAGTAGTGGTTAGTGGTGGTAGTAGTTAGTAGTAGTTAGTGGTAGTAGTAGTTAGTGGTAGTAGTAGTTAGTGGTAGTTAGTAGTAGTAGTTAGTGGTTGTTAGTGGTAGTAGTTAGTAGTAGTTGTTAGTGGAGGTAGTAGTAGTTAGTAGTAGTTTGTGGTAGGAGTTAGTAGTAGTGGTGGTAGTAGTTATTAGTAGTAGTTAGTGGTAGTAGTAGTTAGTAGCAGTAGTGGTTATTGGTGGTAGTAGTTAGTAGTAGTTAGTGGTAGTAGTAGTTAGTAGTAGTTAGTGGTAGTAGTTAGTGGTAGTAGTAGTTAGTAGTAGTGTGGTAGGAGTTAGTAGTAGTGGTGGTAGTAGTTATTAGTAGTAGTTAGTGGTAGTTAGTAGTAGTAGTGGTTAGTGGTGGTAGTAGTTTGTAGTAGTTAGTGGTAGTAGTAGTTAGTAGTAGTTAGTGGTAGTAGTAGTTAGTGGTAGTAGTAGTTAGTGGTAGTTAGTGGTAGTAGTAGTTAGTAGTAGTAGTTAGTAGTAGTTAGTGGTAGTAGTAGTTAGTGGTAGTAGTAGTTAGTGGTAGTAGTAGTTAGTAGTAGTAGTTAGTGCTAGTAGTTAGTAGTAGTTAGTGGTAGTAGTAGTAGTTAGTAGTAGTTAGTGGTGGTAGTAGTTAGTGGTAGTTAGTAGTAGTAGTTAGTGGTTGTTAGTGGTAGTAGTAGATAGTGGTAGTAGTAGTTAGTAGTAGTAGGTAGTAGTAGTAGTAGTTAGTAGTTAGTGGTAGTAGTAGTTATTAGTAGTAGTTACTGCTAGTAGTAGTAGTTAGTGGTAGTAGTAGTTATTAGTAGTAGTTACTGCTAGTAGTAGTAGTTAGTGGTAGTAGTAGTTATTAGTAGTAGTTAGTGGTAGTAGTAGTAGTTAGTGGTAGTAGTTAGTGGTAGTAGTTAGTGGTGGCAGCGGTATAAACCCTAACTCGTGGGATGTACAAACCCGCCGTGTAGGTGCTGCACGTGCAGACGCAGTGGAAGCACCAGGTAGTAGTTAGTGGCAGTTAGTAGTAGTTAGTGGTAGTTAGTGGTAGTAGTTAGTGGTGGCAGCGGTATAAACCCTAACTCGTGGGATGTACAAACCCGCCGTGTAGGTGCTGCACGTGCAGACGCAGTGGAAGCACCAGGTAGTAGTTAGTGGCAGTTAGTAGTAGTTAGTGGTAGTTAGTGGTAGTAGTTAGTGGTGGCAGCGGTATAAACCCTAACTCGTGGGATGTACAAACCCGCCGTGTAGGTGCCGCACGTGCAGACGCAGTGGAAGCACCAGGTAGTAGTTAGTGGTAGTTAGTAGTAGTTAGTAGTAGTAGTTAGTGGTAGTAGTTAGTGGTAGTAGTTAGTGGTAGTAGTTAGTGGTAGTAGTAGTTAGTGGTAGTTAGTGGTAGTAGTTAGTGGTAGTAGTAGTTATTAGTAGTAGTTATTGCTAGTAGTAGTAGTTAGTGGTAGTAGTAGTTAGTGGTAGTAGTTAGTGGTAGTTAGTGGTAGTAGTTAGTGGTAGTAGTAGTTAGTGGTGGCAGCGGTATAAACCCTAACTCGTGGGATGTACAAACCCGCCGTGTAGGTGCTGCACGTGCAGACGCAGTGGAAGCACCAGGTAGTAGTTAGTGGTAGTTAGTGGTAGTAGTTAGTGGTAGTAGTTAGTGGTAGTTAGTGGTGGCAGCGGTATAAACCCTAACTCGTGGGATGTACAAACTCACCGTGTAGGTGCCGCACGTGCAGACGCAGTGGAAGCACCAGGTAGTAGTTAGTGGCAGTTAGTGGTAGTAGTAGTTAGTAGTAGTAGTTAGTAGTAGTTAGTGGTGGCAGCGGTATAAACCCTAACTCGTGGGATGTACAACCCCGCCGTGTAGGTGCCGCACGTGCAGACGCAGTGGAAGCACCAGGTAGTAGTTAGTAGTAGTTAGTGGTAGTTAGTAGTAGTTAGTAGTAGTAGTTAGTAGTAGTTAGTGGTGGCAGCGGTATAAACCCTAACTCGTGGGATGTACAACCCCGCCGTGTAGGTGCCGCACGTGCAGACGCAGTGGAAGCACCAGGGACCGTCGGCCAGCCGCGACGTCTTCTACGTGAACCTTTACCCGGACTTCGCCTCCATCAGCCGCGCCATCCTCGATCTCGTCTCCTTCTACGGCTGGAAGGCCGTCACGGTCGTGTACGAGGATGGCACCGGTGTGTTGTTGTTGGTTGCTGTGGTTGTTGTTGTTTGTTGCTGTGGTTGTTGTTGTTTGTCGGTGGTTTGGACGTTTCCCTCCAAGCCTGCAACGACGACGTGATGATGATGGTAGTGCTGGTGGTGATGATGGGAGTGCTGGTGGTGATGATGGTAGTGCTGATGGTGATGATGGTAGTGCTGATGGTGATGATGGTAGTGCTGGTGGTGATGGTAGTGCTGGTGGTGGTGATGGTAGTGCTGGTGGTGATGGTAGTGCTGGTGGTGATGATGGTAGTGCTGGTGGTGATGGTAGTGCTGGTGGTGATGATGGTAGTGCTGGTGGTGGTTGTAGTGCTGTTGGTGATGATGGTAGTGCTGGTGGTGATGATGGTAGTGCTGGTGGTGATGATGGTAGTGCTGGTGGTGGTTGTAGTGCTGGTGGTGATGATAGTAGTGCTGGTGGTGATGATGGTATTGCTGGTGGTGATGGTAGTGCTGGTGGTGATCATGGTAGTACTGGTGATGATGGTAGTGCTGGTGGTGATGATGGTAGTGCTGGTGGTGATTGTAGTACTGGTGGTGATGGTAGTGGTCGTGCTGGTGGTGATGATGGTAGTGCAGGTGGTGATGGTAGTGCTGGTGGTGATTGTAGTGCTGGTGGTGATGATGGTAGTGGTAGTGCTGGTGGTGGTTGTTCTGGTTGTGGTAGTGTTGGTGATGGTAGTACTGGTGGTAATGATGGTAGTGCAGGTGGTGATGGTAGTGCTGGTGGTGATTGTAGTGCTGGTGGTGATGATGGTAGTGGTAGTACTGGTGGTGGTTGTTCTGGTTGTGGTAGTGTTGGTGATGGTAGTGCTGGTGGTAATGATGGTAGTGCTGGTGGTGATTGTAGTGCTGGTGGTAATGATGGTAGTGGTAGCGCTGGTGGTGGTTGTTCTGGTTGTGGTAGTGTTGGTAATGGTAGTGCTGGTGGTGATGATGGTAGTACTGGTGGTGATGATGGTAGTGGTAGTGCTGGTGGTGGTGCTTCTGGTTGTAGTAGTGTTGGTGGTGGTAGTGTTGGTCATGGTAATACTGGTGGTGCTGGTGGTGGTGCTGGTGGTGGTGGTGCTGCTGGTGGTGGTGCTACTGAAGTTGGTGCTACTGATGGTGGTGGTGGTGGTGCTGCTGCTACTGGTGGTGCTATTGATGGTGGTGGTGGTGGTGGTGCTGCTGGTGGTGCTACTGATGGTGGTGCTACTGGTGGTGGTGGTGGTGCTGGTGATTGTACTCATCTGGACGACCATCGTCACCGACGATCATCTCGACGACGACGACGTTATCCTCGGGTGGCAGGCCTCATCCGCCTGCAGGAGCTGATCAAGGCGCCGTCACGCTACAACGTGCGCCTCAAGATCCGCCAGCTGCCGGGCGACGTTCGCGACTCCAAGCCGCTGCTTAAGGAGATGAAACGCGGCCGCGAGTTCCACGCCATCTTCGACTGCGGCCACGCCACCGCCGCCGACATCCTCCAGCAGGTCGCCCTCGTCGTCGGTAGCAATCATCGTCGGTGTCACACCAATCATCGTCGGTGTCACGCCAATCATCGTCGGTGTCACGCCAATCATCGTCGGTGTCACGCCAGTCGTCGTCGGTGTCACGGCAATCATCGTCGGTGTCACGCCAATCATCGTCGGTGTCATGCCAATCATCGTCGGTGGTCATCGGTGTCACGCCAATCATCGTCGGTGTCACACCAATCATCGTCGGTGTTATGCCAATCATCGTCGGTGTCACGCCAGTCGTCGTTGGTGTCACGCCAATCATCGTTGGTGTCACGCCAATCATCGTCGGTGTCACACCAATCATCGTCGGTGTCACACCAATCATCGTCGGTGTCACGCCAATCATCGTCGGTGTCACACCAATCATCGTCGGTGTCACGCCAGTCGTCGTTGGTGTCACACCAATCATCGTTGGTGTCACGCCAATCATCGTCGGTGTCACACCAATCATCGTCGGTGTCACACCAATCATCGTCGGTGTCACGCCAATCATCGTCGGTGTCACACCAATCATCGTCGGTGTCACGCCAATCGTCTTCGGTGTCACGCCAATCATCGTCGGTGTCATGCCAATCATCGTCGGTGGTCATCGGTGTCACGCCAATCATCGTCGGTGTCACACCAATCATCGTCGGTGTTATGCCAATCATCGTCGGTGTCACGCCAGTCGTCGTTGGTGTCACACCAATCATCGTTGGTGTCACGCCAATCATCGTCGGTGTCACACCAATCATCATCGGTGTCACACCAATCATCGTCGGTGTCACACCAATCATCGTCGGTGTCACACCAATCATCGTCGGTGTCACACCAATCATCGTCGGTGTCACACCAATCATCGTCGGTGTCATGCCAATCATCGTCGGTGGTCATCGGTGTCACACCAATCATCGTCGGTGTCACGCCAATCATCGTCGGTGTCATGCCAATCATCGTCGGTGGTCATCGGTGTCACACCAATCATCGTCGGTGTCACGCCAATCATCGTCGGTGTCACACCAATCATCGTCGGTGTCATGCCAATCATCGTCGGTGTCACGCCAATCATCGTCGGTGTCACACCAATCATCGTTGGTGTCACACCAATCATCGTCGGTGTCACACCAATCATCGTCGGTGATCATCGCTGTCACGCCAATCATCATCGGTGACACACCAATCATCGTCGGTGATCGTCAGTGTCACACCAATCATCGTCGGTGATCGTCACTGTCACATGATAATTGTCGGTGATCTTTGGTGTCATGCCAATCATCACCAGTGGCTCAGTACCCCTCCACCTTCTCTTCCCCTCTGGATCTATGCTGCTACACTCTGTCCATTGACTGAGATCCACTAACTCAACTACCCACTCACCTACCAACTCACTCACCTCCTCACTCACTAACCTACCCACTCACCTAAGCACTCACTCACCTAACCACTCATCTAACCATTCACGTACCCACTCAACTACTCCCTCTCTCAACTACTCCCTCACCTACTCACACACATACCCACTCACTCACCTACCCACTCAGTACCCCCTCCTCTGCGTCTAAGCCCCTACACCGTGACTCAATGCATTGATTGTGATCCATATCTGAACTCCATGGAACACTCAGTAAATATTTAGAAATCGTCCTTAAACTGTCACAGTGCCTTCAGTGGAACAATCGAATGATCAAAATCAGTTGCTGTGACCTTCACAATAACAAACCTTTATTTTAAATAGCAGCGCCCTAAGCACGCACTTGTAGAAAATACACACGGCGCGTGCACACGGTGAATATACACAGAGAAAATACGAATGCATTATGCTCACACACACGCATTAACCATACAAAGAACCCCGTGTAGCCTAACAAACTGTTGGGGCAAGAGCTGTTAGCGAGCACCTATGAAGGCCGGCGCTGCACATGAAGGAGTTGGTGGCCAGCACCACGCCCGGCCGCCTTTGTCTCCCCGGTGGTGATGTTAACACACCGCACCAGGTACCCATTTAAGGCTGAGTCGACCTATGGAAGGCCCAGGACCGGTTCAGATAGTTCGCTATGTAACACGATTTTTTGTCCCTGGGTAGTAAGTGTTATTTGTTTGTATTGCTTATGCCTACAACGTATGACCAGGACTTTATGTTGTAGGAATTACACAAATGCACACCACGTTTTCTCATTGACAATAGGTAGATTTCAAAATATCAATGTCCTGGTCACAAAAGCAAAGTGTTTGGGGAATAATAGCCACTTTCTGCACCTTTTGAGGCATAAGCAATTAGGAAATAACACTTACTACCCAGGAACAAAAATGTAAGGTTTTTTTGTTGTTGTTACACGGCATAATAATCACTGGTGTTGGTGACCGTGGGCAGGAATCGAACTCGGGTCGCCGGGTTCGTATCGCAGCGCGCTAACCGCTGCACCACCGCTCCACACTAACCAAACACAACACCTCAGCACAGTCTGATAAACATACTGAGTAAACATACTATAAATATACACACTGTGAACTCATAAACACGTGCATTAAACTCGCTCGTTAAACACACACACACACGCGCGCACGCTTAACACAAATGCACCCATTAAACACAATTAAACACACACGCGCGCGCTAAGCATCTAAAGATCCCCCGTATAGCCTACACAGGATGCGGGGGCAAGTGCTGCTTCGCGAGTAGTACGAAGGGGGTGCTGTGGACAGCACCACGCCTGCACCCGGTCGCCTTTGTCTTCCCAGTGATAATGTTTACATAACAGCAGCGGTTTCTCATTTAAGGCTGAGTCGCGGAGGCACAGCACCGGTGCAGATGTTCGCCACTGTAATTGGTCGTGAGCGGGAATCGAACTCGGGCCGCCGAGTTTGCAGGGCCAGTGCCCTAACCACTACACTACCGCTCCACAAAAAAAAAAACACAAAGACAAAGGTCCCCCTACAGCCTTAGCAGCCTGTTGGGGCAAGTGCTGCTAGCGAGCAGCACCGATCAAGGCCGGAACGGCACACGAGGGGGTCGGGTGGCCAACACGACGCACGGCCGCCTTTGTCTCCCCAGTGGCGGTGCCTTACGCACCGCAGCAGCTACTCATTTGAGTCTGAGTCGACCTCAGATAATCGTCGCTGCCGTTGGCAGCCGCAAGCGGGAATCGAACTCGGGTTTTTTTTTTTTGCCGGGTTCAGTATAGCGCGGCGCGGCGAACCGCTCGCCACTCCGCTCAACACACTCGCGCACTCACGCACACACTCGTCTCGTCGAGGCGAATTAAACGCGCTCGTTAAACACGGCGACGCACGCAGTCACATTAAAGGCGTAAACAAACACACGAGCGCGTGCACGCTCGCTCGCACGCGCTCGCAGTAAGCCTTAAAGAGCCGCGCGCAACGCACTCGCCCGCCACGCAGATGCGGCTGGGTCGTGTTGTAAAGTCAAACGCTTGGGCAAATCAACAAGGATGGATAGAAGTCAGTCCCGTCGCATCTGCCGAGGCTGCGGAGGGGAGCTGCCTTCGATGATGGGAAGATTGTAAGTTCAAATCTTGGTTGTGGATTGGAGGGCCGTGGGGGGACGGCTCGGCGCGGGATTGACTCAGCCCATCATCACTCTCCATCCGGAGGTCGATAAAATAGCTGCCGCTTTGTGGATTGTATTCCGCCACTGAGCTCTCTGCAGGGGCTGTTGAGCGGGGAGACGATCGCCAATGATTGAGCAGGTTTACTTTGTGCCAGGCTAGGTGCACTGTGAGGTCGTCACATGAAGTGTGGGAGGGGCCCTCGCTGCTGGCATGAGGTCACGGCGCAGACCCAGTAGCTGTGTGTTTTACTGACGTGCCCGGCTAGGTGCAGAAGGTCACGGGACATACCCTGGTGTTATTGTTTAAATGAATGAGATGACTACTGGCAGATGCATCATCTGCGCTCCTCCACTGTGCCAACTCGCTGCGTTTTTAACCGCCCGGCGCTCCGCTCGTTGTTGTGAGCGTCGCTCCTCTGCCATTCGTTGTTGCTGGACACACGCGTTGAACACAACTTGATACACGTGCAAAGGTAAATGTCCCCCATGTAGCCTTTAACGGGCTGTAGGGACAAGTGCTATTAGCAGGTAGCACTTATGAAGGCCGGTACAGTGCACGAGAGGGTGGGTGGCCAGCATCGCGCCCGGCCGCCTTTGTCTCCCCAGTAAAGATGTGACCGGTTCAGATATTCGTCACTGATGTTGGTGGCGATGAGCAGGAATCGAACCCAGGTCGCTGTGTTTCGTAGCGCAGTGCGCTAACCGCTGCGCCACCGCTCCCCACAATAAACACGCACACACACACACGCTCACTCATACAACACACACGCACAGTCACTCGAAGCAGATGCACACAAGCTTACACACATTTAAAGCACACAAAAAAATTAAACAAAGACAAGACATCACCCGTATAGCCTTAACAGACTTTTGGGGCAAGTGCTGTTTGCGAGTATCACCTAAGAAGGCCGACACGGCACACGAGGGGGTGTGTGACCAGCACCACGCCCAGCCGCCTTTGTCTTCCTCCTGGCGATGTTTTTACGCACCGCACCAGGTACTCATTTGAGGCTGAGTCGACCTTGGGAAGGTCCAGGACCGGTTCGGATTCTCGACACACACACACCCACACACGTGCATATCTGTCAGGCGTATACAAATTTACATACCATATTTACCTAATTATATATATACAATCTATTAGGATTACACGGCCAGGAAATATTGATGAGTAATCTTAATCTCTGATTAAGACCGCATTGTTTACACACGTGCGCGCATGCATACGTGCAAACACAAAGACAAAGATCCTCCCGTATAGACTTTTAACACATTGTTGGGGCAAGCGCTGCCAATCGAGCGGCGCCTACGAAAGGCCGGCACAAGGGGGCGGGTGGCCAACACCGCGCCCGGCCGCCTTTGTCTCCCCGAGCACTGACGTCTGCACACTGCACCAGGTACTCGCGTGAGGCTGAATTGGCCTTGGCGAGGCTACATGGGGGACCTTTTGCGTTTGCCTTCGTCAGCTCACAGCGCAACTGAAACCTGGCGACCTGGGTTCGATTTTACGCTCACCGCCACCAAAAAAAAAACAGTGGCGATTATTCGAACCGGTCCTGCGGCCTCCCCTAGGTCGACTCAACCTTAAATAAGTTACCTGGTGCGATGTGTGGTAAACATCGCCACCGGGGAGACAAAGAGGGCCGGCCCTGGTGCTGGCCACCCATTCCCCCCTCGTGTGCCCGGCGCCGGCCTTCAAAGGTGCTACTCGCTCACTGCACTTGCCCCAGTAGTTTGTTGAGGCTATACGGGGCATCTTTGTCTTGGCAAGTCACATCAGCGTCTCGTTGCGCCGTGAACAGCCGGTGGACGGGTCACAGACGAGCGATGCTTTGTGGGTGCGCTCGTGAACAAAGCTTGCCCTTACTTTCCGAAAAAAAATAAAGGCTATACGGGGGACCTTTGTCTTTATTCCTTTATTCTGTGTGTGTGTGTGTGTGCAGGCTATGACCATGGGGATGATCACAGAGTATTACCACTACATCTTCACTACTCTGGTGAGTGAGACACCGTCTGCTAAAATCGCCGGCACTGATGAATTGCCCGCGGGCGTTATCAATCAAATCTAGACTCGCAGTAAGCACACACGTGGGTGTGTGTGCGTGTGTGTTGGTGGGGGTGGTGTGTGTGTGGGATGGTCGTGTGTGTGTGTGTGTGCAGTGGGTGGGTGGCGTGTGGGTGGGGTGTGTGTGGGGTGTGTGTGTGTGGGGTGTGTGTGTGGGTGGTGTGTGGTGTGTGTGTTCGTGGTGTGTGCATGGCGTGGGTGGGGTGTGGGTGGGCTGTGTGGGGTGTGTGTGGGGTGTGTGTGTGGGGTGTGTGTGTGGGTGGTGTGTGGTGTGTATGCGTGTGGGGTGGGTGTGTGAGTGGACACACACGAGGTGAGTGAGTGGACACACACGTGGTGAGTGAGTGGACACACACGTGGTGAGTGAGTGGACACACACGTGGTGAGTGAGTGGACACACACGTGGTGAGTGAGCGGACACACACATGGTGAGTGAGCGGACACACGTGGTGAGTGAGCGGACACACACGTGGTGAGTGAGTGGACACACACGTGGTGAGTGAGTGGACACACACGTGGTGAGTGAGTGGACACACACGAGGTGAGTGAGTGGACACACACGTGGTGAGCGAGCGGACACACACGTGGTGAGTGAGCGGACACACACGTGGTGAGTGAGTGGACACACACGTGGTGAGTGAGTGGACACACACGTGGTGAGTGAGTGGACACACACGTGGTGAGTGAGTGGACACACACGAGGTGAGTGAGTGGACACAAGTAAATGGACGCAGTTTATTCCATCCATCAACTAGTTCGTTTATCTCCACATATATATGGAAGGCAAAGTTGTGAATATGTGTGTCTGTTCAAAATGTTTAGCGTACTGCCCGACATGCAACAAACTGGAAATTTGTCATGTGGGTACTTTCCAGACTATGCACCATGCAAAAATTATAAAAATACACTTTTTTTTTTGGGGGGGGGGGGAGCTCAATAATGCGTATTTTTTTTTCCACGGCAAGTGAGCTGTGACGTCAGATCTGTCACGTGACCCGCGCAGGTGGAAGCGTAACGCATTATAGTGTAGTGGTTAGCGCGCCGCGCTACGAACCCGGCGATCCGAGTTCAAATCCCGCTCACGGCCACCACCGGTGACGATTATTTTAACCGGTCCTGGGCCTCCCCTAGGTCGACTCAGCCTCAAACAATTAAGTGGTGTGGTGTGTGAACATCGCCTCTGGGGAGACAGAGGCGGCCGGGCGTGGTGGTGGCCACCCACCCGGCCGCCTTTGTCTCCCTACACACCGCACCAGATACTCATTTGAGGCTGAGTCTGCCTAGGGCTTGACCTCATGCACAAAGATCCCCCGTATAGCCTTCACCAGACTGCTGGGGCAAGTGCTGTTAGCGAGTAGCAGCGCCTATGAATTCACTAACAAGAGACAAAGACGCCCCGTATAGCCTTCACCAGACTGTTGTGGCAAGTGGCGTTAGCGAGTAGCAGCGCCTATGAATTCACTAACAGAGACAAAGATCTCCCGTATAGCCTTCGCCAGACTGCTGGGGCAAGTGCTGTTAGCGAGTAGCAGCGCCTATGAATTCACTAACAAGAGACAAAGACGCCCCGTATAGCCTTCACCAGACTGTTGGGGCAAGTGCTGTTAGCGAGTAGCAGCGCCTATGAAATCACTAACAGAGACAAAGATCCCCCGTATAGCCTTCGCCAGACTGTTGGGGCAAGTGCTGTTAGCGAGTAGCAGCGCCTATGAATTCACTAACAGAGACAAAGACGCCCCGTATAGCCTTCACCAGACTGTTGTGGCAAGTGGTGTTAGCGAGAGGCAGCGCCTATGAATTCACTAACAGAGACAAAGACGCCCCGTATAGCCTTCACCAGACTGTTGGGGCAAGTGCTGTTAGCGAGTAGCAGCGCCTATGAATTCACTAACAGAGACAAAGACGCCCCGTATAGCCTTCACCAGACTGCTGGGGCATGTGCTGTTAGCGAGTAGCAGCGCCTATGAATTCACTAACAAGAGACAAAGACGCCCCGTATAGCCTTCACCAGACTGCTGGGGCATGTGCTGTTAGCGAGTAGCAGCGCCTATGAATTCACTAACAAGAGACAAAGACGCCCCGTATAGCCTCCGCCAGACTGCTGGGGCAAGTGCTGTTAGCGAGAGGCAGCGCCCGTGAATACCGACACGGCTCACGAAAGGTTGGGCCGCCTTTGTCTCCCCCGGGTGGCGATGTCTACGACACTGGCGTTGGCCGCGAGCGTCGATCGATCTCGGGGTCTCGAAGCGCCACGCCTCCGCTCCCCCGCGACACCCACACGGGCGCGCTACCTCCACCCCCCACCCGTAGCTCAGGTTCTGCCGGAACCTGAGCTCGAATCCACGTGAACTCCGCTTCGCCAACCCGGCACCGCTCCTCGAGAGCAGTGGCTTAGGATGATTGAGCGAGAGATGGGGGGGGGGGGGGCGCGTAGACACGCCTGGCTGCGCTGCGCGTACGTTGAAGAGCGTTTCGCAAGCGTCCGACGTGGCCTGAGAATGCCAACGAGCTAAACAGCACAGCGCAGTCCTAAAGCGATGAGCTGTGAATCTGGATGGTGACTCAAAAGTGCAGAGCTCCAGTGCCTTCACCAATTTTGGAAGGACGAGCGTTACCAGACGGCCGCAGAAGCGAATGCAATGGCCCTTGCCATAGGTAATGTGGAATTTCCACCGCTGGAACAGGGACTGCGAGCAAAGACTAGCATCGCTCCACGCTGACTTCACTTCCATTGTATGTCACTACGTAACACGATTTGTCTTCCTGGGTAGTAAGTGTTATTTTCTAATTGATTATGCCTCGAAAGTACAGAGAAGTGGCTATTATTATTATTCCCCACAAACGTTGCTTTTGTGACCAGGACTTTAGGTGAAGGAATGACACAAATGCACACCGCGTTTTCTTAATTGACAATAGCGACATTTCTAAATATCACTGCTGTGTATAATATACACTTTCTGTACTTTTGAGGCATAACAATTAGGAAATAACACTTACTACAAAAGAATATATAGATTTTGTGTCTTACACAGTGAATTCTTCGCCATCGTGGTCGTCACTGTCGGGTCGATAGACACACAGCCGCTCCGTGTGATCGCAATCAGCATTGATCGTGCCGTGATTGTAACGTGCGATGCGAAAGAAGTTTAGCACACGTAGACCGCGCCTCCGATGAGCACGGTGGGCTACGTATGGTGCAGAGAAAGTTGGACGATGCTGCGCCACACCACCACCAACACAACCAACACCAACACCACCAACACCACCAACACCACCACCAACACCACCACCAACACCACCAACACCAACACCACCACCAACACCACCACCAACACCACCAACACCAACACCACCACCAACACCACCAACACCACCAACACCACCACCAACACCACCACCAACACCACCAACACCACCACCAACACCACCAACACCACCAACACCACCACCAACACCACCAACACCACCAACACCACCACCAACACCACCAACACCACCACCTACATCACCACCACCATTCATTCATTCGGCGTTCACCAACAAACCACTCACTCACCCACCCTCATCACCCACTCACTCACCCTCCCACCCTCACCACCCACCCACCCTCACCACCCACTCACCCACCCACCCTCACCATCCACTCACCTACCCACCCTCACCAACCACCCACCCACCCACTCACCCACCCACTCTCACCACCCACTCACCCACCCACCCTCATCACCCACCTACCCTCACCACCCACTCACCCACCCACTCACCTATCCACCCTCACCACCCACTCACTCACCCACCCAACCCTCACCACCCACTCACTCACCCACCCACTCACCCATCCACCCTCACTACCCACTCACCCACCCACCCTCATCACCCACCCACCCACTCACCCACCCACTCACACCACCCACTCACCAATCCACCCTCATCACCCACCCACCCTCACCACCCACTCACCCACCCTCACCACCCACTCACCCACCCACTCACCCATCCACCCTCACCACCCACTCACCCACCCACCCTCATCACCCACCCACCCACCCACTCACCCACCCACCCTCACCACCCACTCACTCACCCACCCTCACCACCCACTCACCCATCCTCACGACTCACCCACCCACCCTCACCACCCCCCACACCCTCACCACCCACTCACCCATCCTCACGACTCACTCACCCACCCACCCTCACCACCCCCCACACCCTCACCACCCACTCACCCATCCTCACGACTCACTCACCCACCCACCCTCACCACCCCCCCACCCTCACCACCCCCCCACCCTCACCACCCCCCAAACCCTCACCACCCACTCACCCACCCTCACCCTCACCACCCCACCCCCGCCAGGACCTATTCGCCCTCAGCCTGGATCGCTACCGCTACACGGGCGTCAACGTCACGGGGTTCCGACTCATGAGCCTCGACAGACCCAGCGTGGAGGCCGTCCTCGACCGCTGGAGCATGGAGCGCGTGGGCCCACCGCAGCCACCGACGTATCAGCAGCAGCAGCAGCGGCAGCAGCAGCAGCAGCAGCAGCAGGGGCTGCAGGCCTCCGTCATGACGGTAGCTGTCGCATAGCTATCTGCGGCGGCAGCAGCAGCGTGAGCAGCAGTAGCAACAGGAGCAGCAGTAGCAACAGACATCAGTAGCAACAGCAGCAACAGCAGCAGTAGTAACAGCAGCAGTAGCAGCAGTGACATCAGTAGCAACAGCAGCAGTAGCAGCATCAGTAGCAACAGCAGTAGCAGCAATGACATCAGTAGCAACAGCAGCAGTAGCAACAGCAACAGTAGCAGCAGTGACATCAGTAGCAACAGCAGCAGTAGCAACAGCAACAGTAGCAGCAGTGACATCAGTAGCAACAGCAACAGCAGCAGCGGTGACATCAGTAGCAACAGCAGCAGTAGCAACAGCAGCAGTAGCAGCAGTGACATCAGTAGCAACAGCAGCAGCAGGGACAGCAGTAGCAACAACAGCAGTGGCAGCAATGACATCAGTAGCAACAGCAGCAGTAGCAGCATCAGTAGCAACAGCAGTAGCAGCAATGACATCAGTAGCAACAGCAGCCGTAGCAACAGTGACATCAGTAGCAACAGCAGCAGTAGCAACAGCAGCAATAGCAACAGACATCAGTAGCAACAGCAGCAGTAGCAACAGCAGCAGTAGTAACAGCAGCAGTAGCAGCAGTGACATCAGTAGCAACAGCAGTAGCAGCAATGACATCAGTAGTAACAGCAGCAATAGCAACAGTGACATCAGTAGCAACAGCAGCAGTAGCAACAGCAGCAGTAGTAGTAACAGTGACATCAGTAGCAACAACAGCAGCAGTAGTGGTAACAGTGACATCAGCAGCAACAACAGCAGCAGCAGTAGTAACAGTGACATCAGTAGCAACAACAGCAGCAGCAACAGCAGCAGCAGCAGCAACAGCAGCAGTAGTAGTAACAGTGACATCAGTAGCAACAGCAGCAGCAGTAGTAACAGTGACATCAGTAGCAACAACAGCAGCAGCAACAGCAGCAGCAGTAGTAGTAACAGTGACATCAGTAGCAACAGCAGCAGCAGTAGTAACAGTGACATCAGTAGCAACAACAGCAGCAGCAACAGCAGCAGCAGCAACAGCAGCAGTAGTAGTAACAGTGACATCAGTAGCAACAGCAGCAGCAGTAGTAACAGTGACATCAGTAGCAACAACAGCAACAGCAGCAGCAGCAGCAACAGCAGCAGCAACAGTAGCAGCAGCACGTTCGTTGAACTTCTTTCGCAACGTCCGTAGCCAACCCGGCCGAGGACTGACAACACACTAAACAACACAACAACAACAACAGGCAGCAGCTCTAAATAAATGAGTTTTGTCGATCGAGATGATGATGATGATGATTTACAAGTGCACTGCTCCCCAGTGAGCATCCTCAAATCGGAACGGAAGAGCGTTCCAGACGGACCGCGGAAGCGCGGCTGAAAGCGCCGTGCGATGGCGATGCGTGTGGTGACCGCTGCCTCTGCTGATGCTGCTGCTGGGAGAATGAGCCGAGCTGGGCGCGTGAAGGTGGTTTTAATATCGCATCGACGAGACCGATCGAGCGAGCGAGCGAGCGAAGTTTCGTGCGCGTGGTTCACGTGTGGCGAGCACTTTTGCGTTGGGCATCAACGGCATCCGATGAGGAGCGGCCCGCACGGGGCAAAATCTTTGACTCCGCGACCCCGATGGCTCGGGGCCAGGATTTTCGGGTAGGGTGGGAGCAAACCCCCTCCAGCAATGAGAAGTGATAGATAGGAGTTGTTAGTTAGTAGGGAGTTGTTAGCAAGCGAGGAGTCGTTAGTAAGGAGTTGTTAGTAAGCAAGGAGTTGTTAGTAAGTAGTTGTTAGTAAGGAGTTGTTAGTAGTAAGGAGTTGTCAGTAAGTAAGGAGTTGTTAGTAAGGAGTTGTTAGTAAGGAGTTGTTAGTAAGTAAGGAGTTGTTAGCAAGTAAGGAGTTGTTAGTTAGTAAGGAGTTGATAATAAGTAAGGAGTTGTTAGTAAGTAAGGACTTGTCCCATGCTTGTTACACGACGCGTGTGTAGCGATGACGCAGACATCGATGGCGAGGGGTCGAATTGGAACCGCGTGGTGTGATCGGCATCGCGCTCGCTGAAGGTGTCGATGCCTTCAGGGAAGTCGTGGACTCTGTAGACGCAACTGTGCACAATTCTGTGAGTCACTTACAACTGCTTTGCCGTTACTTATTGCCATTTATGGACTCAGACTATTGTCCTATCATCTCATAGAGTCCCTGGCACATCATAAAACGCTACACAGTGGCAGTGGGGGGTCGCAAAATGCCGATTTATCACTAATAAACCCCAATGATCCGATCGAAATTAGGGATTTCGATCGGATCATTGGGGGGGGGCACGTGCCACCCCCCCCACCCCACCCATTCTCACTCACCCTCCTGTGCCCCGACTGGACAACTGTGTGCAAATAAAATCAAAGAGCTTCATAGCTCATCGGATTCTGATTCTGGGGTGCAGACGGACGCGGCGCTGATGTACGACGCTGTGCACGTGGTGTCGCTCGCGTCGCAGCGCTCAGGACAGATGACCGTCAGCTCCCTGCAGTGCCACCGGCACAAGCCCTGGCGCTTCGGATCGCGCTACATGGCGCTCATCAAGGAGGTGCGACGCGCCGCTCGCTCGCTCGGTCACTCACGCACCCGGTCGGTCAGTCAGTCACGTGCTCGGTCAGTCACTCACACACTCGGTCAGTCAGTCACACGCTCGGTCAGTCACTGACACGCTCGGTCGGTCAGTCACGCGCTCGGTCAGTCAGTCAGTCACGTGCTCGCTCGGTCACTCACACACTCGGTCGTTCAGTCAGTCACGCGCTCGGTCAGTCACTCACACACTCAGTCGGTCACTGACACGCTCGGTCAGTCACTCACACACTCGGTCGATCAGTCACACACTCGGTCGATCAGTCACACACTCGGTCAGTCACTGACACGCTCGGTCAGTCACTCACACGCTCGGTCGTTCAGTCAGTCACACGCTCGGTCAGTCACTCACACGCTCGGTCGGTGAGTCAGTCACATGCTCGGTCAGTTAGTCACATGCTCGGTCGATCAGTCAGTCACTCGCTCGGTCGGTCACTGACACGCTCGGTCAGTCAGTCACTCACACGCTCGGTCAGTCACTCACACACTCGGTCGTTCAGTCACTCACACACTCAGTCAGTCACTCACACGCTCGGTCAGTCAGTCACTCACACGCTCGGTCGGTCAGTCGGCATTGTCCAAGCCAGGTGGGGGTTTTATTGTTTTTGAAGCAGTGAGGATACCTGGTCGACCTTTAAGACGGGGGGGAGGGGGGGTAACAGCCAGTGGAAAATGAGGCATTGGCAATGTTGGTAGTAATAACGTTGGTAGTAATAATAATGTTGGTATAATGTTGGTAATAATAATGTTGGTAATAATAATGTTGGTATAATGTTGGTAATAATGTTGGTATAATGTTGGTAATAATGTTGGTAATAATAATCAGTTTAACACGTAGGCTTTCGCGACCAATATTATTCATAATAAAGGTTTTTGGGTTAGATCGCGTTATTTATAAATGTGTCGTAACCCTCCACCACCCGACACGGCCAATCAGCAAAAAAGTGTCACGTTGACAAAAGACAAATAATTCACTACTTTAGCCCACCGGTGTGTTGAAGAGTGAATCCACAACATTTACAGTTTGAGTACGACGTTTCGCTGGTAATTGCATCCAGCATCATTTATAAATAACGCGATTTAACCCAAAAAACCTTTATCATTGGTAATAATAATGTTGGTATAATGTTGGTAGAAATGTTGGTGGTAATATTGGTAATAATGTTGGTATAATGTTGGTAGAAATGTTGGTAGTAATGTTGGTAATGATGCCGGTAGTAATGTTGGTAGTAATGTTGGTAGTAATGTTGGTAATGATGCCGGTAGAAATGTTGGTAGTAATGTTGGTAATGATGCTGGTAGTAATGTTGGTAGTAATGTTGGTAATGATGCCGGTAGTAACGTTGGTAATGATCTTGATTTGAAGCTTTCGTGATTGCAGGAATCCATAGTCTTTGGATCTTTCGGTAAAGTCACGTAGAGCATAACAAAAAAATTAATATAACAAAAAATAATATATCACGACATTTCGATCACAACGCAAGCGGTAGTCCTCGGGCATAAAAAAAATAAATCCAGCTGTGGATTTTTTTTTCCCCGCCTGGGGACGACCATTTGTGTTGCGATCGAAACGTCGTGATGAATTATGCTTCGTTTCATTAATTTTTTTTCTACCTACGTGACTTTACCGAAAAAAACCACAGACGTCGGTAATGATGTTTGCAAGTTGAACAGACCGCCAGGGAGAATATCCAGAGGAGATGTCTTGATGTGAAGTGAACGAATTCGGGCCAATACATCATTTGAAGAAACTGGTGTGAATGAGGACTAGAAGAGAGTTAGTGGGGGGGGGGGTGTTGAGGACGTGAATTTTGTCTGACACTTGTGTGTCTGTGTGTGTGCACATAGCCTGGCACAAGCGTCGTGGTGACGTTACCGCCACTTAGTGGCGAATGCCGGTTGTTATTGTCTGTGTGTGTGTCTGTGTGTCTGTGTGTGTGTCTGTGTGTGTCCGTGTGTGTCTGTGTGTGTGTGTGTCTGTGTGTGTCTGTTTGTATCTGTCTGTGTGTGTATCTGTGTGTGTGTGTCTGTGTGTATCTGTGTGTTTGTGTCTGTGTGTGTCTGTCTGTGTGTGTATCTGTCTGTGTCCGTGTGTGTCTGTGTGTATGTCTGTGTGTGTATCTGTGTGTTTGTGTCTGTGTGTATCTGTCTGTGTGTGTCTGTGTGTGTGTCTCTGTGTGTTTGTGTCTGTGTGTATCTGTCTGTGTGTGTGTATGTGTGTGTGTGTATCTGTGTGTTTGTGTCTGTGTGTATCTGTCTGTGTGTGTATGTGTGTGTGTCTGTGTGTGTATCTGTGTGTGTGTGTCTGTGTGTATCTGTGTATTTGTGTCTGTGTGTATCTGTCTGTGTGTGTCTGTGTGTGTGTCTGTGTATATGTGTGTGTCTGTGTGTGTGCGTGCGTGTCTGTGTGTGTATGTGTGTGTGTATGTGTGTGTGTCTGTGTGTGTGTCTGTGTGTGTGTGCGTGCGTGTGCTGCATATATAAAACGGACACCTGCAGCCCCGCGTGTTTTTTTCTTCAATATAATAGATCGTCACTTTACGGGAGCTCGACGTCCGAGAATGATAGCTGCTGATGATACGGCGTCGTTTGTGCAAAACTGCGACTCCGTGTTAACTTTACAACGGATTTTCGGAAAGAATCAAAAGCGAACGCCCAGCGGCCAGCAACAAACGGCGCGATTACGGTTGTGATGGATAAGAGTGTCACACTTTTATATCGGAAGTGAGCAAAAACGATGTATTTGTTATTCTTGTTGTAAGAGATTGGTGAGGGGGGGGGGAGACGAGACGATGGTGACTGTAATGGAGATGATGGTGATGATGATAGGAGGGGATTCCAGAGAAGTGAGGTAACCTGCAGTGTGGTGAGTGGGTGGGTGGGTAAGTGAGTGGGTGAGTGGGTGGGTGGGTGAGTGGGTGGGTGATTGAGTAGGTGGTTGAGTGAGCAAGTGGTTGAGTGAGTAGGTAGTTGAGTGAGTGTGTGGGTGAGATAGGTGGGTGAGTGAGTGGGTGAGTGAGTGGGTGAGTTAGTGGCGGAGTCAGTAGGTGGGTGAGTGAGTGTGTGGGTGAGTGGGTGAGATAGTAGGTGGGTGAGTGGGTGAGTCAATAAGCCAGTGTGTGTATACGTGTGTGTAGCGGTAAGCGTGATTTGTCTTGACTCTGTCTGTCAAGATGCACACAGACACACACATGCGTGTGTGTGTCTGTGTGTCTTTATTTTGTGTGTGGCTGTGTGAGTGTGCGTATGGGGGAAGCAGTGGTGTAGTGGCTATCGCTACGCTGCGCTACAAACCCGGTGACCTGTGTTCGATTCCGCTCGCGGCCAACACCGGTGACAATTATTTGAACCGATCCTGGGCCTCCCCCTAGGTCGACTCAGCCTGAAATGAGTACCTGGTGTGGTCAGGGCGTGGTGCTGGCCACCCACCCCCTTGCGCGCCGTTCCGGCCTCAATCGTTTCTCGCGAACAGCACTTGCTCCAACAGTGTGTTAAGGCTACGCGGGGGATCTTTGTCTTTGTGTCGTCTATGGCACACAACGTTCACGTGGAGTGCAGGAGGAGGAGGAGGAGGAGGCGGTGCTCATTATCCAACACTGCCAGTGAACATTACCACTCGTCCCAACTAAACACGAGTAGCAGAGAGAGAGCGAGAGAGTGAAGAGCCACACACAGAGAGAGAGAGAGACAGGGCGATAGCGAGTGGCTCGTTAACTCGATTTTGAGAGCCCCGTCCGTCCTGGGGTTTGTTGTTGCGTGTTCCCGGGAACAACTGGAAGCGGTATCGCCCCGAGTACAAAGACGCAGAGAGCTCTCCCCAACTCTCCCCAACTCTCCTCCTCCTAACATCGCCTTGCCACACTCGAGAAATACCCCCCGGGGATCGGTGGGGGGTCAGTGGGGGGTAGGGAGGGGGTGGGGTGGGTAGGGAGGGGGTGGGTGGTAGGGAGGGTGTGGGTGGTAGGGAGGGTGGTGGTGGTAGGGAGGGGGTGGGGTGGGTAGGGAGGGGGGTGGGTGGTAGGGAGGGTGTGGGTGGGTGGTAGGGAGGGTGTGGGTGGTAGGGAGGGTGGTGGTGGTAGGGAGTGGGTGGGGGGTAGGGAGTGGGTGGGTGGTAGGGAGGGTGTGGGTGGGTGGTAGGGAGGGTGTGGGTGGGTGGTAGGGAGGGTGGTGGGGGGTAGGGGCACGGTCGGCCTCACGATGCCCGTGGCGACGTCACTTGAGCCGGTAACGCTGGTGCAGCAAGTCGTGCTCCCATCCCCGGTGTTCCACAACAATGCAAACACAAACAATAATAATAATAATGATTAAAATGTATAATGCGGCATTCCATCCTGAGATCCTAATCCGCAATGCATGGAAAGCAGTGAAATAAAAACAAACCAGGGCAGCCGACCAAGATTTTAAGTCCACTTTATAGAGATGGGTCTTCAAAGCAGACTTAACAAGGTGCCCGGAGTGAGGCTTCCCGCAAGCAATATTATCCACGATGAATGTTTTTTTTTATTGTTGTTTCGGAGTTAGATCGCGTAAAATAACAAAAAATGAATTAAATTCCGGCAAATCGCCAGATGTTGTAGTCGTAATTACTGGCGACACGTCGGTTTACTCGGATTGTAAATGTTGTCGCTTTGGCTCTCCAGCACACAATCGGTGTGCTGTACTAGTACACTACACTATACACTACACTATACACTAGTGCTGTACAAGTACACTACACTATACATACTACACTATACACTAGTGCTGTACTAGTACACTACACTATACACACTACACTATATACTACACTATACACTACACTATACACAAGTGCTGTACAAGTACACTACACTATACACTACACTATACACTACACTATACACAAGTGCTGTACTAGTACACTACACTATACACTACACTATACACTACACTATACACTACACTATACACTAGTGCTGTACTAGTACACTACACTATACACACTACACTATATACTACACTATACACTACACTATACACAAGTGCTGTACAACTACACTACACTATACACACTACACTATATACTACACTATACACTACACTATACACTAGTGCTGTACAAGTACACTACACTATACACACTACACTATAGACTAGTGCTGTACTAGTATTCTACACTATACACTACACTATACACTAGTGCTGTACTAGTACACTACACTATACACACTACACTATACACTAGTGCTGTACTAGTACACTACACTATACACTAGTGCTGTACTAGTATTCTACACTATACACACTACACTATACACTAGTGCTGTACTAGTACACTACACTATACACACTACACTATACACTAGTGCTGTACTAGTACACTACACTATACACACTACACTATACACTAGTGCTGTGCTAGTACACTACACTATACACACTACACTATACACTAGTGCTGTACTAGTACACTACACTATACACACTACACTATACACTAGTGCTGTACTAGTACACTACACTATACACACTACACTATACACTAGTGCTGTACTAGTACACTACACTATACACACTACACTATACACTAGTGCTGTACTAGTACACTACACTATACACACTACACTATACACTAGTGCTGTACTAGTACACTACACTATACACACTACACTATACACTAGTGCTGTACTAGTACACTACACTATACACACTACACTATACACTAGTGCTGTACTAGTACACTACACTATACACACTACACTATACACTAGTGCTGTACTAGTACACTACACTATACACACTACACTATACACTAGTGCTGTACTAGTACACTACACTATACAGTGCACTATACACTAGTGCTGTACTAGTACACTACACTATACACTACACTATACACTAGTGCTGTACTAGACAACTACACTATACACTACACTATACACTACACTATACACAAGTGCTGTACAAGTACACTACCCTATACACTACACTATCTACTACACTATACACTACACTATACACTAGTGCTGTACAAGTACACTACACTATACACTACACACTACACTATACACTACACTATACACTGCCCTATACACTAGTGCTGTACTAGTATTCTACACTATACACTAGTGCTGTACTAGTATTCTACACTCTACACTACACTATACACTACACTATACACTAGTGCTGTAGTAGTATTCTACGCTATACACTACACTACACACTACACTATACACTACACTATACACTACACTATACACTAGTGCTGTACTAGTATTCTACACTATACACTAGTGCTGTACTAGTATTTTACACTATACACTACACTATACACTACACTATACACTAGTGCTGTACTAGTATTCTACACTATACACTACACTATACACTAGTGCTGTACTAGTATTCTACACTATACACTACACACTACACTATACACTACACTATACACTACACTATATGCTACACTATAAACTAGTGCTATACTAGTATACTACACTATACACTACACAATACACTAGTGCTGTACTAGTATTCTACACTATACACTACACTATACACTAGTGCTGTACTAGTACACTACACTATACACTAGTGCTGTACTAGTATTCTACACTATACACTATACACTACACACTAGTGCTGTACTAGTATTCTACACTATACACTACACTATACACTACACTATACACTAGTGCTGTACTAGTATTCTATACTATACACTACACTATACACTACACTATACACTAGTGCTGTACTAGTATTCTACACTATACACTACACTATACACTAGTGCTGTACTAGTATTCTACACTATACACTACACTATACACTACACTATACACTAGTGCTGTACTAGTCTCGAACTGGCCACGTTCTGTTTACGTGACAACCCTTACTAGTTGGTTGGCTGTTTCGGGTGGTGGCGGGCTTAACGACACATTTATATATTTACGCCATCTAATCCAATACAAAAAAACTCTCTCATGGACGTATGCGCGTGTTTGTTGAACTTCTCCTGCACCGTACGTAGCCAACCGTGATAATCGCAGATCTCGGAAGCTAAGCAAGGTTTGAGCTTGGTTGGTACTTGCATGGACAATGCTGCTGCTGATGATGTCCATGATGATGCCGCTGCTATCGATGCTGATGATGCTGCTATCGATGCTGATTACGATGATGGTACTGATGATGGTGCAATCGATGATGCTGACGATGCTGCTGATCCTGCTATTGACGATGCTGCTAATACTGCTATTGATGATGATGCTGCTGACGCTGCTATTGATGATGCCGCTTACGATAATACTACTGATGATGCTAGTATCGATGATGATGATGATGCTATCGATGATGGTGCTGATGCTTCTATCGATGATGCTGCTGCTATCGATGATGCTGCTATCGATGATGCTGATGCTGCTGCTATCGATGCTGCTGCTATCAATGATGCAGATGATGCAGCTGATGCTGCTATTGATGATGCTGCTAATACTGCTATTGATGATGATGAGCCTGCTGACGCTGATATTGATGATGCCGCTTACGATAATACTACTGATGATGCTAGTATCGATGATGCTGCTATCGATGATGGTGCTGATGCTTCTATCGATGATGCTGCTATCGATGCTGCTGCTATTGATGATGCTGCTATCGATGATGCTGGTATTGATGATGCTGCTATCGATGATGCTGATGCTGCTGCTATCGATGCTGCTGCTGCTATCAATGATGCCGATGATGCAGCTGATGCTGCTATTGATGATGCTGCTAATACTGCTATTGATGATGATGAGCCTGCTGACGCTGATATTGATGATGCCACTTACGATAATACTACTGATGATGCTAGTATCGATGATGCTGCTATCGATGATGGTGCTGATGCTTCTATCGATGATGCTGCTATCGATGATGCTGCTATTGATGATGCTGCTATCGATGATGCTGGTATTGATGATGCTGCTATCGATGATGCTGATGCTGCTGCTATCGATGCTGCTGCTGCTATCAATGATGCCGATGATGCAGCTGATGCTGCTATTGATGATATTGCTTGTGATGATGGTTGCTGCTGCTCCTGCTGCTTGCAGGCACAGTGGGAGGGCCTCACGGGGCGTCTGACGTTCAACCGGAGCAATGGACTGCGCACAGACTTCGACCTGGATGTGATCAGCCTGAAGGAGGACGGCCTCCAGAAGGCGAGGCAACTCGTCACGAGCAACCTTGACACGAGCGTCTCTGCACACGCGACACTGCACCACCATCATCACCACCATCATCACTATCATCATCACCACCGTCATCACCATCGTCATCACTATCATCATCACTATCATCATTACCATCATCATCACCACCATCATCACTAGCATCATCACCACCATCATCACCATCGTCATCACTATCATCATCATCACTATCATCATCACCACCATCATTACCATCGTCATCACTATCATCATCACTATCATCATCACCACCATCATCACCATCGTCATCACTATCATCATCACTATTATCATCATCACCATCATCATTACCACCATCATCATCACCATCATCACCATCATCATCACCGCCACCATCATCGCCATCGCCGCCACCACCACCGCCACCGCCGCCACCACCAGAGTTCAATGAGTTCCACTCCGCGGTTTCAGTACATAACTCTTTGCATGTGTGTGCGTGCGTGCGGGTGCGTGTGTGTGTGTCACTGTGTGCGTGCGGGTTTATGGGGGGCGATATTGTAGCGGTTAGCGCGCTGCGCTATGAACCTGGCGACCCGGGTTCGATTCCCGCTCACGGCCAACACCAGTGACGATTATCTGAACCGGTCCCGGGCCTCCCCTAGGTCGACTCAGCCTCAAATGAGTACCTGGTGCGGTGTGTAAACATCGCCACTAGGGAGACAAAGGCGGTCGGGCGTGGTGCTCGCCACCCACCCCCTAGTGTACCGTTCCGGCCTTCATAGGTGCTCGCTAACAGCACTTGCCCCTACAGTCTGTTACAGGCTATATGGGGGATCTTTGTGCGTGTGTGCGCGTGTGTGCGCGTGTGTGCGCGTGTGTGCGCGTGTGTGCGTGTGCGTGCGTGTGTGTGTTTGTGTGCGGGTGCACTGTCACCCGGGGGGTGTTAGAAGCGCATGACAACCTAGCTTGTGATATCAGCAAGTTGCACGATCATAGGCAGGCTTTTGATGGTGGCCAACATGATGATCATAGCCCACACTTTACGCTCCCAGCTAGACGCATGGGAATAGCCAGAATTATGGTGATAAGCAGACTCACATAGAGACCCACAGACTCACAAAGAGATTCGTAGACTCACATAGATATGCGTAGACTCACATAGAGATTCATAGACTCACATGTACAGCCATATACTCACAGAGATCTGGAGTCCCGTATCGAGACCCAAAGACTCACATAGAGACCCACAGACTCGCATAGAGATTCGTAGACTCACGTAGATACTCATAGACTCACATAGAGACCCAGAGACCCATAGACTCACATATCTATTCATAGACTCACATACAGAATCGTAGACTCGCATGTAGGTTGATAGACTCACATAAAGATTCGTAGACTCACGTAGAGACCCATAGACTCACGTTGAGACCCACAGACTCACAAAGAGAATCGTAGACTCACATAGAGATGCGTATACTCCCATAGAGATTCATAGACTCGCATATACACCCATATACTCACAGAGATCTGGAGTCCCGTATCGAGACCCAAAGACTCACTTAGACACCCATAGACTCATGTAGAGACCTACAGACTCACATAGAGACCCACATACTCACATAGACACCCATAGACTCACATAGACACCCATAGACTTACATAGAGACCTACAGACTCACATAGAGACCCACATACTCACATGGACAGCCATAGACTCACATAGACACCCATAGACTCACATATAGACCTACAGACTCACATAGAGACCCACAAACTCACATAGACACCCATAGGCTCATGTAGAGACCCATAGACTTGCATAGAGACATACAGACTCAAATAGAGACCCACATACTCACATAGACACCCATAGGCTCATGTAGAGACCCGTGGACTCAAATAGAGGCCCACAGATGTATAGACTGCGCTGTGATTAAACCGGATCCTCAAGTGCAGCGGTCTACATGTGACGGTCTACATGTGACGGTCTACATGTGACGGTCTACATGTGACGGTCTACATGTGACGTGTGACGGTCTACATGTGACGGTCTACATGTGACGGTCTACATGTGACGGTCTACATGTGACGGTCTACGTGTGATGGCCAACATGTTCTGCTCCACGTGTGACGGTCCACATCTGACGGTCCACGTGTGATGGTCCACGTGTTCTACGCCGCACGTGACAGTCCACGTGTGCTGCTCTGCACGTGACAGTCCACGTGTGCTGCTGTGCACGTGACGGCCCACGTGTTCTACGCGGCACGTGACAGTCCGCACGTGCGACGGCCTTCACAGGTGGGCACGTGGGACCCGAGCTCAGGCCTCAACATGACGGAGACGCCCGCCAAGAAATTGGTGAACGTGACGGACGCGCTGAGTAACAGGATGCTCATCGTCACGACCATCCTGGTGAGCCGTCATCATTCACCTGCAATCACAATCACGGTAATCATCATCAAAATCACTATCATCATCGTTAGAATCACTGTCATCATCGTTAGAATCACTGTCATCATTATTGCAATCACTTCCACTCATCATCACCATCATTAAATCACAAACACTACCATCATCATCATTACAATCACTGTCATCAACATCATCATTACAATCACAATCACTACCATCATCATCATTACAATCACTATAATCATCATCATCATGACGAGCACTGTCATCATCGTTAGAATCACTGTCATCATGATTGCAATCACTGTCACTCATCATCATCATTACAATCACAATCGCTACCATCATTATCATTACACTCACTGTCATCAACATCATCATTACAATCACTACCATCATCACTACAATCACTGTCATCACCATCATCATTACAATCACAATCAATACCATCACAATTGCTATCATTATCACAATCATTCACTGTCATCTTCAGTACAATCACTCTCATCATTACAACCACAATTACTTTCATCATCATTACAATCGCTCTCATCATAATCATTATAATCACTGTCACTTTCATCATTATAATCACTCTTATCATCATCATGACAATCACTGTCACTATCATCATCATTACAATCACTGTCACTGTCATCATCATTACAATCATTTTAACTGTCATCATCATTACAATCATTGTAACTGTCATCATTGCAATCACCGTCTCTGTCATCATTACAATCACTGCCGCTGTCATCATCATCATTAACATTCACTGTGACTGTCATCAACATCGTAATTACAATGACTGTCACCATCAGCATAACAATCACTCTCACTGTCATTACCATAATTTCAATCAATGTCATTACCATCATCATTACAATCACTCTCACTGTCATCACCATGATTACAATCACTGGTATCATCATCATTACAATCACTGTAATCACCATCATTACAATCACTGGTATCATCATTACAATCACTGTCATCACCATCATCATTATAATCACCGTCACTGTCATCATCATCACAATCACTGTCATCATCACCATCATCACCACAATCAATGTCAATATCAACAACAACACACAGACCAGTCCAGCAAACGTTCACTATCCACGAGCACCCTTAAACTCCCCTCTCCACTGCTCTCTCTCTGCTGGGGGTGGCCATCACGGTGGTGGTGGTAGTAGTGGTGGTGTAGGTGGCCATGGTGGTGGTGGCCGTGGTGGTGGTGACCGTGGTGGTGGTAGTGGTGGTGTAGGTGGCCATGGTGGTGGTGGCCGTGGTGGTGGTGACCGTGGTGGTGGTAGTGGCGGTGGTGGAGTAGGTGGCCATAGTAGTGGTGTAGGTGGCCATGGTGGTGGTGGCCGTGGTGGTGGTGACCGTGGTGGTGGTAGTGGCGGTGGTGGTGTAGGTGGCCATGGTGGTGGTGGCCGTGGTGGTGGTGACCGTGGTGGTGGTAGTGGCGGTGGTGGTGTAGGTGGCCATAGTGGTTGTGTAGGTGGCCATGGTGGTGGTGGCCGTGGTGGTGGTGACCGTGGTGGTGGTAGTGGCGGTGGTGGTGTAGGTGGCCATGGTGGTGGTGGCCGTGGTGGTGGTGACCGTGGTGGTGGTAGTGGCGGTGGTGGTGTAGGTGGCCATAGTGGTTGTGTAGGTGGCCATGGTGGTGGTGGCCGTGGTGGTGGTGACCGTGGTGGTGGTAGTGGCGGTGGTGGTGTAGGTGGCCATAGTGGTGGTGTAGGTGGCCATAGTGGTGGTGTAGGTGGCCATGGTGGTGGTGGCCGTGGTGGTGGTGGTGGTAGTGACGGTGGTGGTGGTGTAGGCGGCCATGGTGGTGGTGACTGCGGTCACGGTAACCGTGGTGGTGGTGGTAGTTGCCGTGGCGTTGGCGGTGACCGCGGTGACCATGGTAACGGTGTTTGGCGGTGTCGCAGGAGGAGCCCTACACGACGTTCCGCCGCTCCGACACGCCGCTGGAGGGGAACGAGCGCTTCGAGGGCTACTGCATCGACCTCCTGCAGGAGTTGGCGGCAATCCTGCGCTTCAACTACGAAATCCGCCTCGTGCCCGATGAGAAGTATGGCTCGCCGGACAACGACGGACAGTGGAATGGACTCGTGCGCGAGCTCATGGACCACGTGAGTCTCGCCCGCTCGCTCGTTCACCCGCCCAGTCGCCCGCTTTGCTCGCCCTCCCGCTCGCCCGCTCACCAGCCCGATGGCCCGCTCAGTCGCCCGCTGGCTCACCCGCTCGCTCGCTCGCCCGCCCGATCACCCTCCTGCTCTTCCATTCGCCCGCTCAATCGCCCGCTCTCTCGCCCGCTCAGTCGCCCGCTCTCTCGCCCGCTCAGTCGCCCGCTCAGTCGCCCGCTCGCTCGCTTGCCCGCTCAGTCGCCCGCTCAGTTGCCCGCTCAGTCGCCCGCTCGCTCGCCCGCTCGCTCACTCGCTCAGTCGCCCGCTCGCTCTCTTGCCCGCTCGCTCGCCCGCCCAATCGCCCTCCTGCTCGCCCACTCGCTCGCTCACTGAGTCGCCCGCTCGCTCGCCCACTAAGTCGCCATTGTTGGTTTGAATGCGACGCCGGAGCCTCGCGGCTGCTACGGAACGCTGCGCCTGACGCTCCGTTGCTCCGCACCCTCTGCACGCAACTGGACGCCTCTGTTAAAAAGAGCTTCATAGCTCATCGGATTCCTCCACTGATAATACATATCCTGATTCTGATCCCCCCCCCCTTACCCTCCGCACCCATCCCTGCCTCCTGCCTCACCCACGTAACCACCCTCCCCTCACCCCACATCCCCCCACCCCCCCCACCCCGTGCATCTCCCCGCAGCGCCACCGCAACTCAAATTGATCGGCTCTCGCTAATTAACAGTCCATGAAGGGTACTCATTGCAAATGGCCCGGACAGGCATGTAAGCGCATTAGCAGAAAATTGTTCAATTCGCTAAATTGCCTCGCCGCCCATTCACTCGGCACATTCATCGTATTTCAAAACAGCGGCTGGCCTTTAGGGCGCGTTGTTTGTTTATTTATTTATCAGCATGTTGTATATGCCTCCCTCCATTCCGTCCCCCTTCCCTTCCCGTCACGTCCCTCCCCATCCCATCCGTACCCTCCCCTCCGTAACCAGCGTCCCTCCCACCCTGTCTGAATCCCTCCTTTTCATCCCTTATATATCATCGTCTCCCTCCCATCCCATCCGTTGCCTCCCTCCGTAACCCGCGTCCCTCCCATCCTGTCTGAATCCCTCCTTCTCATCCCTTCTATGCATTCGCTCCCTCCCATCCCATCCCCTTGCCTCCCCTCCTCTCTCCTTTCCCCCACTCCGTCCGCTAAATGCCAACCGCTGAGGCCCCTGGGACGGCCGTAAATTGTTATCGCACCGCTCCGCTTTATGCCTCCCCAGCCTCCCTTAAACTCGGAAGAAGAATCAGAAAGCACGTGTAGAGGACAACCGAGCAAAGCACAGTGGATGGGCACGCGCGCGCACACACACACACGCGTTTATACGTACAAAAAAAAACCCCTATGTATATTTATATCTCTTTAAAGAGCCCTGCGCGTGTTTATGGGTGGTCTATTAGCGCTGTAACGCCGGACGCGGGATGCTCGCGACGGTTCCACGCGTGGACAAATCTCATCGTGTCCTCTCCCTCTGTGGTCGAGATTGCCTCCTGAGGGGGGCGGGTCTGGACCGGGGCACTGAACCAGCAACCGATGATGACATGGGTTCGAGTCCTAGGTCCCGGGTTGCCTTTGAATAGACTGAGCCAGCAAGCTCTGAGGTGCCTGAGTGGGAGGCCCTGGGGTTGGGTGTATGTCCCTAGCCTGCAAGCTCTGAGGGGCTGAGTTGGAGCCCTGGGTCTGGGTGTCTGTCCCTAGCCAGCAAGCTCTGAGGGGCCTGAGTTGGAGCCCTGGGGTTGGGTGTCTTTCCCGTATCCTGCAAGCTCTGAGGGGCTGAGTTGGAGCCCTGGGTCTGGGTGTCTGTCCTAAGCCAGCAAGCTCTGAGGGCCTGAGTTGGAGCCCTCGGTCTGGGTGTCTGTGATTAGCCAGCAAGCTCTGATGTCCTGAGTTGGAGCCCTGGGTCTGGGTGTCTGTGCTTAGCCTGCAAGCTCTGAGGGCCTGAGTTGGGGCCCTGGGTCTAAGTGTCTGTCCCTAGCCTGCAAGCTCTGATGTCCTGAGTTGGAGCCCTGGGTCTGGGTGTCTGTGATTAGCCAGCAAGCTCTGATGTCCTGAGTTGGAGCCCTGGGTCTGGGTGTCTGTGCTTAGCCTGCAAGCTCTGAGGGGCTGAGTTGGAGCCCTGGGTCTGGGTGTCTGTCCCTAGCCAGCAAGCTCTGAGGGGCCTGAGTTGGAGCCCTGGGGTTGGGTGTCTGTCCTTAGCCTGCAAGCTCTGAGGGGCTGAGTTGGAGCCCTGGGTCTGGGTGTCTGTCCTAAGCCAGCAAGCTCTGAGGGCCTGAGTTGAAGCCCTGGGTCTGGGTGTCTGTCCCTAGCCTGCAAGCGCTGTGGGCCTAAGTTGGGGCCCTGGGTCTGGGTGTCTGTCCTTAGCCTGCAAGCTCTGAGGTCCTGATTTGGGGCCCTGGGTCTGGGTTTCTTTCCTTAGCCTGCAAGCTCTGAGAGCCTGAGTTGCAGCCCTGGATCTGGGTGTCTGTCCTTAGCCAGCAAGCTCTGAGAGCCTCAGTTCGAACCCTAGAGTCTGGTGTCTCTAAGAGGTGCGTACTGATCGCATCAGAACCACTGATCCAGCAGCGGCAGCAGTGGCGGCAGGAGGCTCGGCGCAACCGGAGCATGCAAGCTCAGACAAAGGGGCAAGGGCCTAGCCCCTTCCGGCAATATGAAATATTTACAGGCGCTGGATCAATGGCCCCTGCGTCACCACCACCAGGCGCGGCTCCGAACAGCTGCTCGCGAGGCCAATTACGGAGGCCGTGTTGATCTCAGCAGAGATCAATCTGTTGATCTCAGCCGAGGGGTGGCAGGAGATGCGGTGACGTAGCCGTCACTTTTTAAGTAATTTAAATGTTTTTTTATATCTATATACGTACGTTGAGCTTCTTTGGCACCGTACGTAGCCAACCGTGCTCATCGGAGTTGCGGGGGAATGACAACAAACTAAACGCAAAAAGCAGTTTTGAAGAAATTAGTTTGTCAATCTAGATGATGATGATGACGATGATTTAAAAGTGCACAGCTCCCAGTGACGTCCTAATATCGGAAGGAAGAACGTTCCAGACGGCCGCAGAAGCTCATCCGTTTTTTGTTGTCGTACGTTGCGACTGGCACAACCCAATAAGTTTCCAGAGCTCTGCACTCCTACATTTGGATGCTTGTCCAACTCCAGTAGCGAGTTGTTTAGACTCACCACACAACTCACCCACACCAGTGTACAGATACTCACCACACAACTCACCCACACCAGTGTACAAATCCACGCGACCTTGGGGATAGAGACACGCACAATCCGAATACACAGCAGCAGGCGTCAGGGTCGGGATAGAACCCACGACCTCCTGTACACCAGGCGAGGCAGATAACATCTCACCACCGTAGCGCCCTGTTTGCTTGCATGCCTGTCCTGTGCTGTCCATGCCCTTGTGCGATCTACGTCGCTCACGCAATCGACATCACATCCCCCTTTCCGCGAAGTGAACCCCAGGCTCTCTTAGTGGCTCACTCTGCCGGCTTGCTTGCGGGGAGCACCGCTCTGTGACCTCCCCCCCCCCTCTCTCCCCCGCTTTGTGTAAAGAGAGCTATGGCCATCGTGGAGCCAGAGGATTACATAACAGCCAGCAGCCAGCCAACGCTGATTGTAGCCGTCCTGGCCATCGCTCACACGGAGGCTCCCATTGATTCCCCTGTCCGCTCCGCGCAGTGAATTCTCGCGATTTCAGGGTCGAGGTTTTCGACTCGAGGAATGTTTTTTTTTTCTGTTGTTGCGTGCGCGGTGCGGGATCTATCGCTCCTCCAAGGCTACGGTGGATCGATCGCCTCGTGATGTCTACGTGGTCATCGCCCCCACTGGACGGCTGTGAAATAGAGCTCGGCGGCTCGTCGGATTACTCCAGTAATACATACATATTCTGATTCTGATCGTCGTCATCATCCTGACCGTCATCATCGTGGTGCGCCACGGTGGTGAGATGTTCACTACCTCGCCTGGTATGCAGGAGGTCGTGGGTTCGATCCAAATGCTAACACCTGCTGTATATTTGGAGTTTGCGGTATCTCTCTCTCATCAACATCACGGTGACTAAGAGATGTTAAGTACCTCGCCTGGTGTGCAGGAGGTCGTGGGTTCAACCTGACCCTGACGCCTGCCGCTGTATATTTGGAGTTTGCGTGTCTCTCTCTCTCTCTCTCATCATCATCACGGTGGCTAGGAGATGTTGACTACCTCGCCTGCTATACGGGAGGTCGTGGGTTCGATCCCGACCCTGACGCCTGTCGCTGTATATTTGGAGTTTGCATGTCTCTCTCTCTCCCCGTGGCCGCGTGGATTTTTCTCCCCCCCCACCCCCCCCCCCCCCCCACATTTAGAATCACCATCACGCGTTTAGAGTATTTGGCTGCTTAACGACGTGGTGAGCCTCTTTGTTGAGCCATCATTTGCAATAGCCAGGGTCGCTTCTGAAAAAAATGGCTACACAGCACCTCAGTGGGGCCTTACCTGGTGACATAAACAAAACATGTTTAGTGATACATATAGATCATCCCCATCATCATGGCTGGATGAATGCTTCCCCCGAGAGCAATCGCGCCCCTCCCCCCCCCCCCTCCCTCTGCACCCTGCCACACGGATCGACTCCGCCGCTCCATCTCCATTGGTGGGCGTCCTCCTCTCGGGAAGCAGCGTCCCATCCCGTGGCTGCTGCGCCTCCGTTGTGAGTCTCGACCGCCACCGCGTGCCGTCCCCCCCTGCCCCCATGAAGCCCCACTCACTCCTCCGAACAGATTGGTGGTGATGGTGGTGATGGTGACGATGATGCCATTGACGCGCGCGTGTTCTCTAATCCGCTGTGTGTGTGTGTGTGTCTGTGTGCGTTTGTGTGAGGGCGGGGTAGCGGTCAGCGCTTCGCCGCGCTACTGAACCCGGCCACCCGAGTGAGATTCCCGCTAACGGCCACCAACACTGGTGACGATTATCTGAACCGGTTTCCGGCCTCCCCTAGGTCGACTCAGCCTCAAATACCACGTTGTCCTCCCTCCCAAACGCTCCCCCTCCTACCCCATCCTCTCAAACACCACACTCTCCTCAACATCCTCCTCTCTCCATCCTCCTCTCAACCTTCATCCTCCTCTCAACATCCTCCTTTCAACATGCTCCTCTCATCCTTCATCCTCCTCCACCCGCCTTGTCCACTCCTCCACCACCCCACCCCACCCTCCCCATCAGAAAGCCGACCTGGCCGTCGCTCCGCTCACCATCAACTACATGCGCGAGAAGGTGATCGACTTCTCCAAGCCCTTCATGACCCTGGGCATCAGCATCCTGTACCGCAAGCAGAACGGCACCAACCCGAGCATCTTCTCCTTCCTGATCCCCCTCTCGCCCGACATCTGGATGTACATCCTGCTCGCCTACCTGGCCGTCAGCTGCGTCCTCTTCGTCATCGCCAGGTAGCCCACCCGCCTGAGAGCGCCCACGTGCGTGTGGCGCGTGTATCGGCGCGTGTGTGTGTAGCTCACAAATCCTTGAAAACGTCTGGATGCTGCAGCCCATCGGTGAGCTCGTCCGGTGGGCGAGGAGGCTGCGTCGGCCGGCGTCACGTAGCCCGTAATGCCCCAGCCACCGCATGGCCAAGCAGGTTCTGTTTTTAGATAGAGGGGTGTATGTGTGTGTGTGTGGGGGGGGGTTGGTTAAAAGGGCGCGTGGAACGAGCTGACGAAGAGATGGAGCTGGTACGGTACGGGAGGGTGTGGAGCTGGGTGGACTTGCTGATGACCGGTACCAGGGGTGTCAAGATCGGCCTCTATGGAGGAAGTTCGTCAAGGACACAAACGGGCACTTGGTGGAAGTCGCCCTCCAACAAAACGGAGGGTGGAGGAGCGACGCTCACAACAACGAGCGGAGCGCCGGGCGCCTAAATTGCAGCAGGTTGGCACAGCAGGGGTCACAGTTGATGCATCTGCCAATCATCTTAGCCGTCGACACTTCACGTGGCCTCAAAGTGCACCTAGCCTGGCACAAGCGCCGTGGTGACGTCGCCATCACTTAGTGGCGAATGGCGGCTGTTGTTGTTGTTGTCTGTACACATGTTGCGTGCGTGCAATGTCTGTGTACGCGCGTGCATACGTGCGTATCTGTGCACGTGTGCGTACATGCGTGTCTTTACAGGTGTGCGTACTTTGTGCGTGCGTACGTGCGTGCATGCGTATGTGTGTGTACGTGCGTACATGTGTATGTGTGCGTGCGTGCGTACGTGTGCCTCTGTACACGTGTGAGTACGTGTGCCTGTACACGTGTGCGTACGTGTGTGCCTGTACACGTGTGCATACGCGTGCGCGTGCGTGTGTTCGCGCGTGCGTGCCCATGCATTTAAATAGCTGGGAGGAGGTGGGTGCAGCCGTTCCCCCTACTAAAATATGCGTTCCATTAAAAGTGTGGGGGGAGAGGGGTGTAGGGGGAGTGTGTGGGGGGGGGGGGGCAAGAGGAGAAATAATGAAAAAAGAGAATTGAAAGTCGTTTGGACAGCTCTGGCTGTTTAATGCGGATGACACGGAGACTAATTGCGCCCGTGCCACGCATCCGCAGGAACAGAGACATCGCCGTGCCGGTTTCATGCTCTGTTAACAGACGCTCGCAAGTGTTCATTGTGTGTGAAGGCGAGAACGTGCCTGTGTGTGCGGGGGTGCGTGCGTGCGTGCGTGGGGAGCGGTGGTGCAGCGATCAGCGCTACGCTGCGCTGCTAAACCCGGCGGGCCGAGTTCGATTCCCGCTCACGGCCAACATCGATGACGAACATCCGAGCCGGTCCTGCGCCTCCCCTAGGTCGACTCAGACTCAAATGAGTGCCTTGGTGCGGTGTGTAAAACATCGCCACTGGGGAGACAAAGGCGGCCGGGCGTGATGTTGGCCACCCACCGCTTCGTGTGCCGTGCGGGCCTTCGTAGGTGGTTGCTAGCAGCACTTTCCCCAACAGTGTGTGCAGGCTATCCGGGGGATCGTTGTCTTTGTATGCTTGTCCATTTGAGTTTTTGGGTCTTTGCTAAGTAAACCATCATTATCTCGCCAGGGTCGATAAAATAGGTACCACTTTTTGGGAAGCCGAACGGTGTATTCATGACGCCTGCCATAGCAATGTGGAAGGGCATTTAACCTTGTGGCCAGGTGCCACAGCAATCCGAGTTCCCGCTCTCAAACCGGGGCTAGACTCAGATACATCATCCCACTGTGGTGGTTAAAATGAATACCACGTTGCGTAACATCGCCAGCGGTCAGTAGCTGGATGGAAGTACCTGTCCCCTGGCATGGGAATGTGGAATTTCCGCGGCCTTGCTGGGGGGGGCTGTCAGCGTCTCAACCGCGCCTCCAATTTATTCTCAGAATAGAAGCTTTGTGTTTTTTTTCTTCCATTGTCATTAAAATCTATCAAAATTAATTAAAAGTAAAAATTTATCATGGAATTGAAAGCTCCGACTAGGGGGGGTGAGCGTTACAATGGAAGAGTTACGTGAGAAAGTGGGAGGATTTGAAATGAATCAAACCCTTATTGCCTTTTAATATTTTTACATGTCTCTTTCAGCGATTGAATTCGCGCAGACGCAGGGAAGGAAAAAAGACGTGTTGGATCACGAGCATCCATCTTATTGCCTGGCTTTTTTAAAAAAAAAAAGAGAAATAAATTATAAAGTAACGTATATATATATTTTGAGTTATTTTGCACACGTTGAATCATTCACCTCTGCGTGAAGGCGCGAGGTTGAACGCGAACGCGTCCTCACCGTGATCATCATCGTCACCCTTATCCTCCCCTCTCTCTGAGCCGGAAAAGCCCCTCTCTGTACCAGCGTGGACGGCACCCTCATGTTCACCTTCTAAAGCGCTCGCTCGTCGACGTGGCCTGCGCGAATGACCACCACCACCACCACCACGTGACTTTTCTTTCGTGTTGTGCGCGGTGCTTTTAGCATCACAGGGCGTGGATTTTCAGCGTTTATTTTAATTTGTTTGCTGGTGACTTTGTGTGTTTCATATCGAAATCGCCTCCAGTGCCTTTTGCTGCTGGCGGCAATAAAAGTTGTTTAAAAGTCCAAAAGTCTCTCTCTGAGCCAGCTCAAGCCTCCTGTGTGGCCACTCCTACTCTTAACCCCTCCGGTTTGTACCTCGTTGCTGCCCACTGTGAGAACAGACTCTGCTGATGCTCTTCCGCATAGCAGCAGCAGCAGCGTCCGCGATCAGCCTCGCGCCTTGCACGCAAAGGCGAATGGTTCGACACGTGTGTGAAATGAAAACAAATTAACTTTATTTTAGATTTAATTTATCTTTTTTTTTTAAGTCGTCGTATATTAATCAGCGTCGAGGCTCTCGACGCTGCTGCTATGTAGCTATTTTTTTCAGAAGCACCTAGCGACTATGATAGCTCAACGAAGTGGTTTATTACGTGGAAATTTCAAGCAGTGGCCAAAGATTACGAACGCATGTTTCAAAATGTGAAGGGGAAAAACCGGAGGACCTGAAGAAGATCCATGGGACCAAGGGGAGAGAGAGAGAGACACGCAAACTCCAAATATACAGCGGGCGTCAAGGTCGGGATCGAACCCACGCCCTCCTGTATACCAGGCGAGATAGTTAACATCTCGCCACCAAAACGGGAGCGGTAATTCTCGCCGCCCGCGGTAAATCGCAGACAGAGTGAATGTCTTATTTATTTCCGTGTTTTTTTTAAATCTTGAGCAAAATAAATAAATATTGCTTAACCCACATCGCTTATGGAACCGCCGTTTCGTGCTTAATGTACGCGAGCATTTAAGTTTACCCAAGTCTCCGTTCAATTTGACTCTTGTCATCATCGTCGTATTATCAATCAGTGGTAGCAGCCAAAGTCACGCTTGCAAACACACCCGGTTTTAAATCGATCGATTTCAACGCAGTCGTTGGCTAGGCTTTCTCCGCTGCTGGATGAAGATGCCGCGTCCTTCCTACTCGCCACTGTGACTGGGAGATGTTGACTACCTCGCGTGGTAGACAGGAGGTCATGGGTTCGAAAGCGACCGTGACGCCTGCTGTGCATTTGGAGTCTGCGTGTCTCTCTCTCTCTTTCTATCTCCGTGGTGAGATGTTAACTACCTCGCCTGGTATACAGGAGTTCATGGGTTCGATCCCGACCCTGACGCCTGCTGTGCATTTGGAGCTTGCGTCCCCGTGGTCGTATGGATTTTTCTCCGGGTCCTCCGGTTTTTCCCCTCTACATTGACAATTATATATAATCAACGTTACGTGTTGAGAGTATTTGGTGGCTGCTATACATTTTCACGTAATGATGATGATAAGCCACTTCGTTGAGCTATCATTTGTGATAGCAAGGTCGCTTCTGAAAAAAAGCTACATAGCTCGGTCGGCCTCATCTGGTAAACATGAAATAAGAAAAAAGCAATAAAAATTTAACTTCGTCTAAAACTAAACTAAATTTAAGAAAATATATGTTTATTTGACTAGTTAAAGCCCACTAAGGTAGGAGCTTTGTTTCAGAAGCGACCTGGCCATCTTTGGCGAGGCCAATGAGAGTGACGTACGATCTGAGCCAACGAGACCCCCACTTCCTTCGATTCGATAGTCACGATTTGTGGCGACGATTTACACGAAGCGAATGAAAGGAAGTCGATTTCTATTTGTTCAATGTAATTGCAGTGTTCTTTAGTTTTTTCGGTAAAGTCACTTAGGTAAAATAAAATAAATGAAAACAACTAAATTGAATCACGACGTTTCGGAGGCAACACAAGCTTCCGAATATGAATGCTTGCAGTCACGAAAGCTTCAAATCTATAATTAAATGCAGTGTGTTCATCTGGCTGAAGAACGGTCATCAGTACCCCCCATGATGTAAACATCACGCAAACTCTCATCACTCAAACTCTCATCACACAAACTCTCATCACTCAAACTCTCATCACTCAAATTCTCATCACGCAAACTCTCATCACGCAAACTCTCATCACTCAAACTCTCACCACTCAAACTCTCATCACTCAAACTCTCATCACACAAACTCTCATCACTCAAACTCTCATCACTCAAACTCTCATCACTCAAACTCTCATCACTCAAACTCTCATCACGCAAACTCTCATCACTCAAACTCTCATCACACAAACTCTCATCACTCAAACTCTCATCACTCAAACTCTCATCACTCAAACTCTCATCACTCAAACTCTCATCACTCAAACTCTCATCACTCAAACTCTCATCACTCAAACTCTCATCACTCAAACTCTCATCACTCAAACTCTCATCACTCAAACTCTCATCACTCAAATTCTCATCACACAAACTCTCATCACTCAAACTCTCATCACGCAAACTCTCATCACGCAAACTCTCATCACTCAAACTCTCATCACTCAAACTCTCATCACTCAAACTCTCATCACTCAAACTCTCATCACTCAAACTCTCA